CCCACTGTCACGTGTTTCATCGATTTTGCGGCTGCCTTTGATTCAATTGATAGAGCGGTGCTTTGGAGGGTGATGGAACATGACGGTGTTGCAGAGAAAATCATTAGACTCATAAAGGCATTTTATAAGCGCACGTCCGCGCAGATCTGTGTATATGAGGAGCAGATAGATCTCTTCGAAATAAGAACAAGTGTCCGCCAGGGCTGCATCCTTTCCCCCACAATATTCAACTATGCGATAGACTGGATAATGGACACTGCTTGTCGGCACTCAAGAGGTGTCCGAATTAGTCCAGAGCATCATATCATAGATCTTGAATACGCTGCTGATGTAGTCCTTTTTGCTGACAATTATAACGAAATGCAAGTAATACTAAATAACGTGTCAGAAACTGCAGCAAGAATCGGACTCAGCATCAATGTAAATAAAACGAAAGACTTTTCGTCTTATGTGCAAGAAGCTGATAAAATGCCTTTTTTTGTAAATTCATTGCCGGTTGAGGAAGTGCCTGATTTCAAATACCTTGGGTCCACTCTAATACCAAATGGTCGGGCAAAAGATGATATTATAACTCGGATCACAGCAGCTAGAAATGCGTTTTTCCGGCAAATGGTTGACGAAACCTATATGAAATCGTCGTGAAATCACCATAAAAACGAAAGTTCGCATCTATATTGCCGTGATCAGTTCGATCTTACTATGAAATATGGCCAATGAGAGTGGAAGATATTAAGAAGTTATCTGCCTTTGACCACTCTTGTCTAAGGTATATTTTACGGGTTCGCAGAGTGGATAAAATCTCACAAGATCGCATCCACCTTCGTTCAAATACCACTTGCATAAATAATGTTATCACAGAGCGCCGCCTTCACTGGCTAGGGCACATTTTCCCTCAACCACTACAGGAGTTGATGCATATTTCGTTATTTGCTAAACCGCGTGACAGTTGGCGTCAAAAGCGAGATGGGCCAATCAAGACCTGGACTGATACGGTGAGAAAAGATTTTGAACGTATAGGTGGACCAGCAATATAGGGACTTAGACGATGGAAAAAGGAATGGCTTCCATTACTGTCGACGATGGCATCAGACCGCGCCGCTTGGAAGTCTTACCCTTGTAGCCGTTGTAGCCCATTTTATCCGTTTGACGGATCCGTAAATGTATCTTATATATGAGTGGTCAAAGGCTAATAGCTCCTTAATATTTTCGGCTCTCATTGGCCATGTTTCGCAATCATATATGATACATTAACTATCGAGTGAATTGTAATTATATGGACGCAGATTTTCATCTTTATGGTGATTTTGCGACGGTTCCATAAAGGTTTTATCAACCGGAAAAACACATTTCTATCTGTCGTTATCCCAGTTACAATTACATCCTTTGTCATTTGGGAATAGAGTGGATCCAAGGTTTAAAGTCCAGGATTTCCTCAACCGGCAATGAATTGATAAAAATAGGTATTTTATCTTGTATATATGACGAAAACACTTTCGTTATATTTACATCATTAATTTTGAGGATAGTTCTCGCTGCAATTGTTGATACATTATTTGCATTTCATTATAACTGTCAGCAAAAAGGACTACATCATTAGCGTATTCAAGGTCCGTGATGCTATGCTCTGGACTGATTTGCACATCCCGACAAGCGATGTTATCATTACCCAGTCTACCGCATAGTTGAATATTTTAGGAGAAAGGATGCAGCCCTGACAAACACCAATTCTTATTTCGAAGGAGTTTCTCAGTCCTCATATCGTCTTCTTCTAACAGCTTATCCCATTACTGTTTAGGCTGGCTCCAACGCCTACAAGAATAAAACGCTTCCAAGCGGCGATCTGATGCCATTGTCGACAGTAATGGAAGCCATTCCTTTTTCCATCGTCTAAGTCCATATATTGCTGGTCCATCTATACGTTCAAAATCTTTTCTGACCGTATCAGTCCAGGTCTTGATTGACTTCCATATACCTGTCCTTAAGATACTGATAAAATAAAATGCCTTTATGAGCCTAATGATCTTCTCTGCGACATCGTCACATTCCATCACTTTCCTGAGCGCTGCTCTATCAAGCGAATCGAAAGCGCTACAAAATCGATGAAGCAAGTGTTGGTGGATTGCTGGTATCTGAAGCGATGTTTCAACACCATTCTTAGCGTAAATGTCTAGTCAGCATTCCGGAATCCGGCTTAGTTAGGACGCATTCTGCTATCTCGTGTTGCCATGAGTCTATTTAGCAAAAGGGAAGCGATCGGTGATTGTCCTCTCAACTTTCTTGGGAATTGGGTACAGTTTCAATCTTCTGGTTATTTCTTTTTGCCATACTAGAGAACACATTTGTTGAAAGTGAGTTATGAACGATGATGAACAACATTTGAAGAGTTCGGCCCGAAGATCGTCTTCTCGGGAAATTTGTTAGCTTTAAGCTTATGGATTACAGTATAACTTTCATACTAATTATGGCAAAGCTTATTTTTTCCGCAATTTTTTTCATGAATTTGTTATGAATTTTCCTATTTTTATAAAATTTAACTCTTCTTTGACAGTTCGCAATTGCAAACATATGGATTGACGATCCCGAATCAGTTATATTCGGGACAACAAATGGCGCATCATGGTTGTTTGGGCTCAAAAAATTCTTCCATCTTATGAGGCGATCCTTAACAGGTGTCCCATTGATACCTTGTACCATTTCACTGATCCTTTCTCAAGTTATAGTTGCTTTGTGAAGAAGATGAAACAGTTTCCTATCATCTACCCGAACCACCGTCTCCATTTTCAAGGCCATATTGGCGATGTCCTGCTTTGCTGCTGTCGTTACAATTCTTCAAAGCACCTGATAATCAAGATCTTCTGACATTCAGCTTTTTCAATTGGACAGTTGTTTCCGACACCCAACTAACGCATTTCCTATACCCTCGTATGAAAGTGGTTGATTTTTATAAACATATCTTTAGTTTGGACCAGTATTTATTTGCTGTTGCAGAGATGTCATTAATATTCATTTCATTGAGATGTTTCAATACGGTTTGAAATACTTATTGTTCCCTGATAATTTGATTTAAGATAGTTGAAAGATCTTGGAATTCCTTATTTCTACGAATCTTGGCTCGAACCATAACATGATCTGATCTATGGGCTACCAGTTTCAGCGCCCTGATAAGAACGACTATTAAGTACAGAACTCTTCCAGCGTCAGCTGACTAATATATAGTCTTATTGGAATATTGGTTGTCGAGAGTTCCACATTACTAGATGTTTTCTACGATGCAGAAAGTATTAATAATTAAGAGTTCATACTGTTCGACAAAATGAAGAAGGCATTCTTCATTAACGCACTGTATGCAATATTTGCAATTTACCGAATTCATTATAACGGCATCATGACCTACGCGCACATTCCAGTCTCCCCCGATTATGACCATGTCAACTCTCGGCAGTGATGTTGTTAATAGTTGAAGCTCCGCATTGAATTTATCCTTATCACGGTCATCTGCGCATAAAGTTGGAGCATATGCACTGATGACCGAAATATTACAAATATTACAGATCTTTCTCTTGAAACGCGCTTAGTCTATACAGTCATTTACTGGCTTCCATTCAATCACAGTGGATCGAGCCTTTTCAGAACATTATAGTCACTACACCATTTCGTTCCAAGTTATCACTACACCACAGTGATATAGCTAATATTTTTGCTTAGAACCAGGTTTAATAATTTCTCGAGAATATGAGGAAGACGGACAAATAAGCCACATCCATGCTGTATTTAGAGAGGATGTGGACAGTGATTGCTGGGCTTGCAACATCCCTTAGCGTTCTGACGTTCCAAGCAGCTATAGCCAGCAGCTCGCCTGCTTACAAAGCGGATAGCGGATAATTTCTCGCCTCCTTTGACGAATAATTATCTCGGTTTACGAGCAAATTCTATGCTTGTGCCTTGAAATTATTTTATTATAATTATTACACATCGTATATTTATCGCACATAGTCAGAAGTATCATGCGCTTGACGTCAAAGAGATATGACCATTTCACCACAGAGTCACCTGCGGTTAGAGATACAGGTGGGTCCCCACAACGCCATCCCTAGTTTTGACACAATGACAGGTTTACTCCTGTCAAACGCAAAGAATAGAGATAATTAAATTTAAAAAAAAGGGAAATTGAAAGATGATTGAAAAAAAAACTTATCTGATTCGAAGAAGATTACGTAATAATAGTAAATAATAAATAATAACGTAATAATAAATATAAAATAAGAATACAATAATATAATCAAGTGAATTTTCTGTTCAGTTCTCGATTAATGAACAGAGCACCCTTTCTGCACAACCGCTCGTAAACAAACATCGAGAAAGGACTGATATTTACAAATTATTAATGCAATATATATTTCTAATATTTATTATTGGTGTTACGAAAACGTTTTAAGTATGGAGAACATTCTAAATCAACCTTAAGAAGCTCCATTCTCTTTCCACTCTGGGGACGAGAAGTTTGGTTTATTAATTTCCCAAATTATTTTTATTATAAATGATCATAAATTTAAGTTATTGTATTTTGTTTCAAATTCCCTTAAACTCATTTCTTTATTCTATGAGAAAAACCATTTGCTACTAAACGAAATAAAAGAATAAATTAGGATGGAGATAGTGTTAAAGAAACTGAATATTCTAAAAAAAACTGTCAGGATCAGCAAAAAATATACAAGAAATTTTTTTTATTTTTTGGGTAATATTAGCAAGCATACATAAATTGCATAAAGTGTATAAAGAGAAATTCTCATAATTGATCTCACTGATGGCGAATTTCATACAGTGGATGTAATGGATTAAGAAAGCGAGCCGTAGATCATAGCTGTTGCCATAGGCGACACTTTAGTGGTTATACTTTGTTTTTAACTCAAGGTTTGAAATTATTTTAATTATTTTCTTATTTATTCGTGTTTTTTGGTTTTTTTGTTTATAGTAATCTTAAATAAAATAACATTAAAAAATTACTGTGTTCGCGAATTTCCAAATGGCAATCTGATGAAAGGGTTTAACCATGATAGCCAATGGGATGAGCCAAACCAGAAATGGTTGAGTACTGCTGCAGATTAATATATCCCTAATATTCCCTTACGCTTATCTTCTAGCTGTTTGAAACCCCTTGAACATCCATCCAAACTCTATTAAATTTCTTATAGGCCTCTTGTCCAAACCTTGAACTATCTTTTATAACTTGTTTTTCATTAATACATTTTCCGTAGTTCAATATTACCTCTTTGCATGTTTTAAAATCTCATAGCATCTCATATTCATTATATTATATTCACTCTCCCATCAAACAATATTTATATTTGACAGAACTCTTTAGATTTCAGATTAGAACTTTGCTAGTTTAGAATGAGCTTAAAGTTAATTCAAATTTACACTTTTTTGGAACCATGGCTGCAACATAATTTTCCAATTTTATAATAAATAGTGTTAAAGGTTCATGCAAATGGTTTAAAACACAGTTGACGAAACCGTACTGCTAGGATAATGCAATAAATATTTCGGCAATATATTCAGTTCAAACGTCATCGATTCAGTCGATGCTACTTGATTGGAAAAAGCTTTATCACTAAAAGTGGTGAAATTGGAGCTGAAAAAACATTTGTAATTTGTAATTGAATACCTGAAACTTTTATCGATTTTACTTTTGCGAAGGGACTCATATTACGTGCTTATAGGGAGACGTGGAATGGAATCAGACGAAGAAGATGCGCGCGATGGCACCGTTCTCAAAATTGTGGTTTGCGGTGATGGTGCAAGTGGTAAGACTTCATTATGCATACGTGTCGCTCAGGATAATTTTACTAGGCAATATCAACAGGCTAGCAATAAATTTATTTTTTATCAGATTTTTTTCTTTCCTTTCATTTTAATTTATCTAGCAAAATCCTTCTCTACTTACAAAACGTTAATAAATTATCAAACAATAACAAAATGACAAAATATTTGTTAAATAAAATGATAACAGATAATAGATGGATGTAAAAAGTAAGAGTATTTATTGTATACTCTATAAATATATAATAAATAATTTAAAATTAAAAAATTATTTTGAGTTTTTTTCTTACAAAGTATTATTACTGTATATATCCGTTGTACACTTGCAGTCAACCAATTTGGTATATTTAATTCCATAAGATTGGTTAAAAAGATTGATGTAACTGCAACCACTGAGGCTCCTTTGCCCTAATCGTCCCTATTCCCCTAATCGTCGAATCGTTGTTGTACTGTCTGTGTACGCCAGAACCCGATTATATTTACGAGACAACTTGAATTCCTTTTATATTCCCTTATAAACTCCAGTTACGCTATTTCATATAATCACCGGGATTTTCAACTGCAATGATTTATTCCCTTCAAAAGAGTAATAAAAAATGGTCATGGTCTAAAACAAATACGCTTTTATTTTCCAACTGTGGTTGCAAACTTTTTTTTAGACGGTCGGCCTGGATTTTTTTTCTCGACGTCTTGCATTGCCAGGAGACATTTCAGTCCTTTTGCAGGTAAAATAAAATTTATCGAATTTATTGTCATATCTTTTCTTGCCAATATCGGATTTCTCTCTCATCTCAGATCGACTTGTATAAACTTTCGAATTATTATCGAAAATCTTTAAATTATATCATCATAAATTATATCATCTTGACTTTATAGAATTTTTATATACTTTTGTTGATACACTTTTATATTTTTGTATATTTTTATAATTAAGGAAAATTCCCAAGCCAAAAACTCATTCAAAATCGGATTTTATTTTATTAAAAAATTATTTCATTCATTAAAAAAACTCAGATTTGGGATATTGGCGGACAAAGTATAGCTAGCCCAATGTTAGAGAAATATATCTATGGTGCACATGGTGCACTAGTCGTTTATGATGTCACTAACGGATCGAGTTTTGAAAATTTGGGAGACTGGGTCAATAGCATTAAAAAAATAACCAAAACGCAAGAGAAGGTATCTTTTCTCAAAAATTTTTTTAACAATTTAGACAGATTTAAATATAATGCAAAATTTCAATGATGCAAATGGTTTTTACAATATTTTAAAATACTTCGCATTTTTTGATTGACCAAAAGCGTTCACTCCACTGTAACAAATTTTTGAATCACTTTTCTTTTCCGTATTAATAAATTTTACCATACAATAATAAAATTTAGCCAGTAAAAATGTCGTTAGTTGGCAATAAAACCGATTTGGAACATCGTCGAGCTGTTCGTATTGATAAACATGCAAAATTCGCTGAATTACATTCAATGTCGAGTTATTATGTTTCTGCTAAAACTGGTGATAGTGTTATGTTAATGTTCAGGTAACATCTTCTATAGGACTCATTGTTTTCTTATTAGACTTGCTGTATTGTACTGTATAATTATTACACCAATAAGCAAAAATACCAGTAGGTCCCCAGCATAATATAAAATTTTCTATGGCAGACTCTTATCAGAAGGAAGAAACTGAATCATGGTGCGTAAAACCATAATTTAAGCAATATATTAAGCAAAATAATAAGCAACACAGAATTATAATTGACTCACAGTGGAACTTTTCTATTTCCCCTTAATACTCCTTTAATGTCACCAATCATACACTCTCAACATAACCTGTTTTTTCTTCGTGACCAGTGGATGGATAGAAATTACCACAAATTTTTTTAAAAACATTTTATAACTTTAAAATTAAAATTGGTGGTCGTCGATAACAATAAGTAAAAGAAAACTAAAAGAGTGAGAAGCGTGAAAACAAAAGTTTGATGGAATTCGGTGAAATGCTAAAATTTTCGTTCAAGAATGGAACAATGGAATGAAAAATGAAAATATATCTAAGATGATATTGGCACCAAAATGGAACCACACACAAGTGGGCTTTAAGTCGCTATTATTAAGAAACTGATAAGGGGATACATAGCAGCTTGAAACATAATATAATTTAAAATGATAAGTGATATATAAAACTTAATGTGGCATTAAGAGGCTTTCGGAGGATATCAAGTACAAATAAAGAAACCGTAAGAAGTGATAAAGTGGCGTTTTGTGCAATATTAGTTTTAGCAAGTTTTATGAAAGTCATAACTTAGTAATTTTGGGCGTGATAATTCATTTGCAGCATTTCGAGACTATTGTTTCATCCATATTTTAAGGGAATGTAACGAGATTTAGGTATATCAAGGACGAATTAGGAGTACTATAATAAATATTTAAATGTGAAGAAGGTACAATAACGCTTAATTGCTGGGGAAATGAGGTGCGGTTTGATAGAATAAAAAGATTACAGGATGCGTTCAAGGAGAAGGAGAGGGGGGAATAGACGAAAACAATTTACAGGGTTTTACTTTTAGAGTGCGCATAAAGGGCCACAATTTTCTGGTACACGGACCACACATATTATATATGTATTTTTTCTTTCCCCATTTTGCGGTAACAATATATACCCGATTGTGAAGAGGTCGCTAAGGGACACGGAACCGTAGTCTTTCACTTAACGATATTTTCATTACTGTTAAAAATCATCTTAAAATGCAGCTTAGTGGTCAAATTATAATTAGTTTTCAAAATATTAAAATAATCTTAGCTGCATAGACCTTCAGAAAAGCAGCCTGCTTGGGCTCTTGGCTCATACAGCTCCATTTGTTTTACGACTGTCTATGCTAACACCAGTAAGAAGAGCTACACTGGAAAATAAGCTACTTGGCATTGGCGTTTATGCATAAATGGTAGCTATTGTTTTTTGGATTTTTGAGTCTTCTTTCTTCTTTCTCGTTACTTTCCCTTCCTTCTTTTCATTCTCTTCGTGTTATCCCTTATTTCATCCGGTGTTAGACTAATTTTGTGGCTGTTTAAATGGAAGTTTTCGCTAGAAAACCACTTAGAGATAAAAAGTTGCTAGGTTGTTGCCAGCAGCACTCGGATTTTTCAATGCGACCGCAACATCGCCTCATCTCGGTGATCGGTCAACACTACCACTACTTTGCCTCACCTAAAAAAAGCATTTAATAAATGTTCAGCATCCAACCGAATCGCTTCTCAAATCTTTCATTAATACTAAAATTTTCTAATATATAACTGAATTAATTTGCATTTTTGAAGTATCTAAATGTGCAGTGTCCAAGAAAGATTAATTAAAGGCAAATAACTTGTGAAATTCTTGGAATTCAGTTAAATAAATCGGATATGGAAGCAGATATAATCGTTGTGAAAGCACCAATTGCCACGAATTCCGCCGAAACGAATACAAAATTCGTCCGAAGAACTAATCAGTCGCATAATACCGCCGTTTGTTCGCTTTCTTAAGCGAAAATCATTTCCTTTTTGGTACTCTTTTCCTCGACCATCGCTTTTGTTTTTATTTATTTTGCACATTTTTCTTTATAGACATTTACGAAAAAAAATTTTTTCCTCGCTGCTAAATTCATTTTAAAATATCCACAAATAAATAAAATGCTTCTCAAAAATTTTTTAAGTTTGTTTTCTTTTATTAATTAATTGATTGAATAAATTTTTTACTTTTAAATTGCAATTTTTCAAAAAAACAGAATTTAAGCCTCATTATAATGTAAATCTCACCGAATGAGTGACTGCCCTCATGACGATACTCGGTCATCGCAAGGACCACAGTGTAAATCTCACCGAATGAGTGACTGCCCTCATGACGATACTCGGTCATCGCAAGGACCACAGTGTAAATCTCACCGAATGAGTGACTGCCCTCATGACGAAAGGATATTCACGACAATCATGATAGCTCATAAATGGGTTTAAATTCGGATTCGAATCAATCATTTCCGTGACTGTAGAACCCACAAGCGAATCAATACACTAAGCCGATGGATAGTATTTCCTAACAATCGACCTGAAACATATGACATGGTCACGGTAAAATGGGTTGCTGAAATTTTGCAAAGTGCAGTGGAACAAATTTTCGGTGATCTTTGCTTTTAAAGCTCGTCATCGTTGTTTGACCTCTGACCTTTCTTGTGAAGTGAATTCTAAACTTATGGAATGGTTTGTGATTTGAATGCTTTCTTTTTTCTACTTTCCAGATTTTTTAATTTCGATTAATTTGCGTTTTTATTTCTTTGTTTTCTTTCCAGTTTGATTTCATCATTGTATATATTTCTGTGAATTTTTTTACTATATTTTCTATTTCAGCGTTTTTTTCTTTTTTATATTTTTCTGAGAGTTTTCATAACATTTTTTTGGCTAATAGCTCTCATTACTATGCTTGGTGCTTCACCGATCTTCGCCGGAAGGCTTCTTGGAAATATGGTTGCAAATAATGTCACCAGCACCGGGTTTTGACAGGATCACCCTTGTTAACGAGAAGGGAGAGGGACCTCTGGCGCAGTTGACGCGAATCGTACCACTCGATCACCCCAGCTCCCCTTTATATGATAGTATTTATTAGTTAATAATGGCATAATAGAATAATTGCATCTTAATCCCTTTTTCTATTTTTTTTGCATATAAATTTTTACAATAGATTTTTTTTTGTTTTACCCAGCGATATTTAGAATGAATTAATTATATTTTTAAAAATACAAAAAAAGAAACATTAAGAAGTATCTAAGAAAAATATGATATGTTAGAATACGTTTAGAATGATAAATGATTTCTATATAAAAATATAGAAATAAAATAGAAAATTAAATTTGCTACTTTTTTGATAATACGAGCATTTAACAATTCTTATAATTCCATTTCCATTTACCACTTTCGGTTGCAGTCGGTGGAGGCAGCCAAACTAGAATGTTAAATGATGGAATATTGAAAGGAGATGGGAAAAATTTATAAATGAAATAGTAGGTTATTCAAAAAATTCGCGACGTTTTATTTTGTAAAATCATAACAATTTTGGAAAGCACTATTATAATCAGCAACGTGGTGCAATTGTATTTATTCCATTTGCTTAAAAGTTCGAGCCAAGGGAACTGCCTCAAGACGTTTACAAAGTCCTCGTAATTTTAAAAATATTTCTCCTTGAAGTTGCAGAAAGAACGGAAGAAATTATAGTCTGTTGACAAGAGAGATGGGAAATACGGGGATGAGGAACGTCTTCGGTATCCGATATTCAACTTGCGATTCTGGAACTTTCGTTATAGCTTTTTCATGTACAATGGTGACTTTTTTCATTAGCCAGTGTTATCATGTTTTCTGTTCCTTTTGGATTATTTCCAACTTTCCACGTCTTCCTTGTATAACTCTGCTATAATCATTTCATCAGAGCTATGATGAATCCTGCATCTCTGCCAAGCAGCGAGTATAATTTTCTCTTGAACTTTCTTCGGATTTTGACATGTATCGAGGTTCATCTTTCTCCAGTTCTTTTGTGCCAATTGCGCCAACCTTTTCTTGTCGCAAAGAATCCACTTTTTCTCATAAGGTCTGTTAGGTGAAAGTCTATTCATAAAGAGAATCGTTTTTATGTCATTAGCTATGAATAACGAATTTCGTCAAAAAACGTATCCTTATCTAATGCCAGTCAGTTCATTGGGGATTTGTTAACTTTTTCCTTCTTGCATGCAGGTGGTTGCATGATGCAAAACTTCGAGCTCTTGCTCTAAATAACTCTTTCTGGGACTATACTCCACCATCTCGCTTAAAAATTCATTTGTAGTACTTAAGGGCCAATTTTGAGATCAGTATCCCAGGCTGAACTTCATTATCCATTCTTCATTATTTTTTCAAGTATATCATCACAAAAAAGAATTTGCATATGAGCTGCTTGTGGGCCAGTTCTCCAACTGAAGCCACAGCTCAAAAACACGCCACAGGAAATCATGGCGAGCATAGCGATATATACATTATAGCCAAGGTGGCACGGCAAGAAAAATATGTCCGACTCATCGTTTCTGGTTATCTATTATCTATCTATTATTCATTAGCACATAGAAATTTTTGCGTGGAAGTCATTTAGCGATAGCATTATATGTGGGTCGTGAGCACCTCTCGGATTGATGATAGGCTTACCACTATTGAGGGGAGAAACCGAATTCTTGCGATATGATCTGAATCTGTTTTACTCGTCTGTCACCTCTAAATTGAAGTAATTTCATTTTAATTGACTTTTTCCTATGAATTTTGTTAAAATTTATTTGGGCATAAAATTTATATTAAAATCCATCGTATTATATTAGGAGATTGAAGTAAGTAAAGTGTATTTGCTTTTTTTTTGCTAATGCTCTTAATATATATATTTCTAAATAATAGTTATCGTAAATAGATAGTTCTTAACTAAAAAAAGATTTTAATTTTTACATGAGGCGATTGTCAGGTTTAATAAATCTCCATCATTTTTGGAAGTCAAAGGTCAATAACAAGTAAATTCTTAGGATGCTTCTCCTTCTCCTTGTCTGGTACTACTTGGATGATGCGAAAGCTGTTTGGAAATGAAAGAACTGGTGAACTCGCAGTATTATACAAACTTCAATTTTACACATTAAGGAATAGGAATGCTTGATGTTTTGCCTCTGCGTTACTTACTCATTACTTTTGATTTAACTATCCTGCTTGTCTTTTAGTGCAGCGATTGCCATATGACGTCCTCTAATTTCGTCTTTTCTAACGCAAATATGGTTCGGAAGATATTTTTTTTATTTTTTCTCAGCAAAAATTCCATAAATCCATTACTTATAGCTTTTTTTGAATCAAAAAATTCAACTATTTACATCGATCCAATGGACTTTTCTTTGAACAAATTGCCTTGTTTCATCTGATGCGAAATTTTTTGGAATTTTTATTATTAATATCTCTGTCAGTAACTTCTTTATTTGAATTTTATAATTTATAAATTTTTAGAATTCAATTTTGCTTTTTTGCTTGGTTGATCCATCGATTAATAGTCTAAGGCTCCTTCGCGTGTCATTTGGAGAAAATAAAAGTACAGATGATTCCTCTTCACCACTTGGATTTCACTTAATTTTATAGTTGATCGAATCTCTCGTTATTAATCGATGGATCAACCAAGCAAAAAGTTATGACGGTAGGAACCGGGCTCGTGCAATCAACAACTCTGCCATTCAGCTATTATGTTTCGACTTCATATTACCTTATCTATCGTTATTCATATCGTTTATCTTCTGATTAATTCTTTATTATCATTGCTTTTTATTGCAAATCATACTATGGAGAAAAAAATGTGCGATATTTTTAATAATAAATTTTTTTGAATGGCAAGTAAATCAGTTTAGGAATAACTGGAATAATTATTTTTTTAATAACAAATGGTCTGATTGGTATGGATGATTTGCGGAAAAATGATAATACGCGAAAAGAACCTTCAAGAGAAGATTTATTACGACTCTTGTCATCTTTTGAAGGTGAACTTCAAGCTCGGGATATTGTCATCGCTGCTTTAAAGGTTGGATTTTTTTGTGAGTCACTGGAATTTGTCCCATTTTTCGAAAATTTAAGTAAATTTTTAGCCAAAATTAAAAGGAACTATTTTTTGCAGTATAATTTCACAAGAAATATTTTGTTTATTGCGACGACAACAGTTGCATCTATTTTTTTTTTTTTTCTGAAGAATTCGAAATAAAAAGTTATTGTAGTCAGAAAGAACGAAGCAAATTCTTTGCGAAGTGAAATATGGTCATTTGGTTGCAAACGATCCATTCAAAGCGTTGCAGCGTGATTCAAATTTTGATGAAGAAAATGAATTCGACGAAAATGCTGTGGGAAAAATGTACGAAAGTCAAATATCTCTACTGGAACGTCTTATTTCAGTGCAGCGTCGTTCTCATCAACGTTCTCAGCAAGTAATTTTCTAGTAAAGTGATTTGTCTTTAATGCTTTAAAAAATAAATAAGATAATACTGTCAATAAAATAAATATTTTATTTTGAATTTCGATTCAAATTCTATTTAATTCTATTAAATATTATCTCATATTTTTTCCATTATTTTGTTATATATATTAAAATATTTCAAAGATTTATAATTCATTATTGAAATACTGGCACTGGTAGTACTTTAATTTTCACATATATAATTATAATTTTATACATATAATTTTTAGATTTTGGCTGCTTCAGAAAGACGGCATTTGCGAATTTTAAGAGAGTTAGATGAGGAAAAAAAGCGATCAGTTGCAGATGCCGCACAAGGCGACGATATATGTGCTCTTCTGGAAAACGATAGGGCTCGGCTGCGACAGCAAGTATAATTTTCTTTAAAACAATGCTAAAAATAGCTAATGCAATTCGATTTGGAGAAAAACTTAGGAATGGGATAATTAAATAATTAAATTGGTGGTAGATAGTAATGACTCTTCATTTTATTTTGTTTTTTTTTCTTTCTTCTTTTCTTCTTTTCAGTTAGAATACGAACAACGTGAAAACGATAAATTACATAAAGAAATTGAAAAACTGGAAAAACGATTGTTAGATGAAAAGGAACGGCATAAATCGATTGTACTTTTTCTCATAAATGAAAGAAAACAATTGTTATTGAATATGTATGAGTTGAAAATGCGTAATGATAGCAGTGGTTTGTCATTTATTTTAGTCCCATTTTAATTTAATTGATTTAATTTAGTTCCCTATTAGTAAAAAAAATTTCATCTGTGTCTGGTCTGCATTTCGACTTTGCAATATTTTTCAGAATTTTATTTCGAAATTATTGCTAAAATTTAATCGCAATTTTTCAGTTCGTACGTGAACAGTATATCTTGTTCTCAGTTGCATGAAAACCATTTCCTATTTTTTTCTTATCTGTGATAAATTATTTCCTTAATTTAGCTGTCGCCTATATACAGCAAGAGCCACTAATTGCCGAAATGCGTAAGGAAATAATTTCGCTACGATCTGAGCGCGATCATTTAAAAAAGTCTTTTGAATCAGCAAAAACTAATGTTACTTCTTTAAAAGAGGTTAACTTTCAAATATTCTTTCTACACTTTTTGAAATATATCGATTTTACAAAAATTCGAATGGTTCGGCAAGCTGTAATAATGAATTTTTGTTCAGCGGCTATTTTTATTCAATAAATAATTTTTTAGGTAATAAAAAGTCAAGAAGGAGATTTGACGTTAATGCGCAATAGTATGCTAGCTAATTCCAGATTTACGAACAATGCAACTCATTCTCTTAAATATCCCAACAATGTTAATTGCATTTAAATTTGTAGAATTTTTTAAAATTAGCCTATGAAATTGGTTTTATTAAAAACTTCTCATCTTCTTCTAGCTTCAAGTGACTGGTGATGGTTCTCTTATTGTCGTCAATAAAGCAATATCAGCTTCATTGCCTTCTAGAAAATCTAATTCTAATTCGGTTTCTGGATTACCTTCGCCTTCACCAGATGGTCGTCTTACTCTCCAAGGTCGTTTGTCAGGCTCGTCAAGTTTTCCGAATGGCGGACGAACTCATCCAAGTCGTGTTCCTCTTCCATCGTCTAATCCTCGACCAGCTACATCCCCATTATCAACTATGCCACCAATACCAAATAAGTTAGTTTGTTAAATTGGAAGTAATGGTAGTATTATTTTTACATGAAATTTTTTCTGCTATTTTATATTTCTTTCACGAGATATTTTAAATGCTCAAGATTTAACATCGCTAGGAAAAGGTCAAATAATTCAAATGCTCAAGTACGTTCTACAAATTTCTTGGGATCACATAATGGTCCAGGATTAACTCCAGAACGGTGTAAGGTCTTAGCAATCAACGAAAACAACCATAAAAATATCTTATGTACGGAACCGGAAATCGAGCAGCTTGGAGCTATCATCGATTCAATGACTACCACCAAATTGAGTATGTTCAAATTTTTAATATTTGTGTTAAAATTCATCTTTTTCCCAACAATTTTCAATGCAGATAAAAGAAGTGCATCCTTGCCTCGAAATGGTAAAAATAAGGAAGCGATGACTCACATGCAGTCTAAGGCTTCCCCATCAAATACGTCTAAACGCAGTGGATTTTTTAAAGCACTCGGTGTATCAGCGCGCAGTGACAGAAGTGACGTTTAACCTATCGATCTCTACTTCTGCTTTGTTTTTATGGGTTTAGATTATTTTATAATTAGCTAACTGCTTTTATTATTAGTTTTAGGACTTAGTATTATTTATTTATATTGTTCACAGGATTCAAAATGAATTAGATAGGTGCATTGATATTGAATTTCTATAAGATACTTATTTTAAGTGCCAAGATTTTAAAATATTTTGTCTCGATTTAATAGATGAAAAGTAAACAAAAACATAAGGATAAGGTAATTTAATATAAAAATGCATTAAGTGAAAAATCAAAAAATGCATTAAAATATTTCATATTATTTGGAGATATGAAAATTCAATAATCGCGTACTGTTATTTCACGTTTTAATTTTTCTAACATATCTATTTGGTGCTAGTTTATCGAGCCTACAGCAATTTGTACAGTGTATATTTTAAAAAACTTATCTGATAATAAATAACGAATAACAAGAATGGAATGAACACTGAAATGTGAATATTTGCATTTATAAACTTATGCTAATTATATCAAAATCTTATTCGATTATGTTGCTAGGCACGGATAACTGCGATATTGTATAACCCAAGATTCGGCCTACAGTAAATAAATCGTCGGTGATCGGTGAATTCTATAATTATCCTTTTTACGCTTTTTTCCTCAATAATTAATTTTCCATTGTGGCTTCCATTGTAAAGCTAGTAAAGTTTCTTAAAATTAAGAAAGTGGTGTGATAATTTGTTAATATTATAATTCATTAGTAATTTAATAGGTGGAAAAAGATAAAAGGGAAGATAGCGCTTAGACAAAGATGGCACTGGCATTGAATATAAAGACGTTTGGCGAGCGGGCGGGCGAACGACATGCGTGGTGCTAGATATCCATCTGTGCTCCTATTCCCAAGTGATTCTCTGGCGGAAAGGTCTAAGGTCTAGTAACCAATGGGATCAACAAAACCAGAAGTGGTGAAGGCTATTGAAAGAAAAAAGAAAGAAAAAATTATTGTACAACGTTAAAACTGGTTTTTTCTATTCCTATTATAATTCTTTAATAAATCTTCCTCATATCCTTAATCTAAAGCCCATTTCTCGTTAAACTTTAAACTTTGTTTCTTTTGCAAACTCGACATAATCGCGCATCAAATTCCGCTTTAGCCTTAATAGTTCAAATCCAGCTGCAATCCATCAAATCGGATCGCGGATAAGACATATCCAGACCTCTACCCACAAATTTCATTTCCATTTACACTTTTAACTTTCATTTACTTTTAACCTCTTCTCCTCACAGCCTGCTTTACCATAATCCATTATTGTCTCAGAGACTTTTCCACTTTAAACTTTTTATACCAAGCCATACCCTCTTTATACCAGGCAACTCCATGATGTTTCCTTAATGCCAACAAAGTAGTGTGCTACCACAGCAAAAAATTATGATTACATAATGAACAACATGATGCTGGCTGGGCATGTTGATGGTATATTAGAAGGGAATACATGGAATGCATGGAAATCGAGAGAAAGTGAAAGCGGAAGGTATTAAGAGAGAATAATAAGGATTTGACAAGCAGAATCCGAAACGGAAAAAAGCCAATTTTAAAATCTAAAGTTGTATTTTGCAGCCTCCATTCCACAGGATGGGTTTTTTTTACGGCCTTAAGGATAATGAAATTTTATATTTGCCAACTTATAGGTTGATTTAGTACAGATTGATTTAAATGGTTTAAATTAATAAGAAATATGGAAATTACCGGTTTCTTTTCGCATAATTTCTTAAGTGTAATAAATTTCATAATCTTCTGGTAATCGGAATCAATATCAAAAGTATGACCACACCATTTATAATGCTGCTGTTCAACATTGAATTGTTTCTTATTTCTAAATAACCAAAGCCCAACTGTTCTGCCGCAGTAATGGCACTCAACTGCATCATCTATACCACTGAAAAAATTATCATAAAAGCACGTTTAAATGAAAAATTCCGGTTGACCCTCTCTTTTCTCAAAATAATGCACACAACTGGATCGGTTAACATAATAGCCGCTCTACCTTTTTTTCCAACCCGAAGATATTAATAATGCCATTTTGCCCCGATCTGAATTAAAATCCACATGTTTTAAGCGTGGTTCAGATGATAACAATGATACAATTTCAACATCTTTAAAGTTTAAAGTCGATATGGCACGAATGCTGGAAAATATTAGTACAAAAATTAATGTAATGAAGATGAAATTATCAATTAGAAAACTTATGAAAGCAAACCAAGTAATACAAATCAGAAATTAAGAAGGTTAAATTAAGAAATAATTAAAAGAAATCACAAAATAAAGAAAAAACATAAATAACAAAAAATAAAAATAATTAAACGAAAACCTAGAAGATAAATTGCTACTATGAAGATCATTCAAAGGGATTGATCGATTACAGTGAAATGAGCCCTTGCGAAAACGGCAAGATGGTTCATGTGCTTCAATTATTCTTTCCTTTAATTTCCTATAAAATCGAGAGCGTCCTTAAATCCCTGATTATAATAAGCTTTACATGGATTTTCTGATGCTGTAAAAATATTTCATTAAAAAGATTTAAATAAGTATACAAGTAACGAACCGCATGATTCTCTGATAAACAATGCAATTAGTTGGCGCACAAGAAACAAATGTATTTAAATAATTTTTACAAGAAACACATTGCAGGATATCTTTGTCGATGCAAATCCATCCATAGCAAGCGAAAAGTTGTATATTCAACTCACTCGATTTTTTCTTCCATTTGTCAGCCAAAAAAAATAATGTAATATGTATAATAAATACAATTAATGGGCATAAATTTAGGTAAATTTAATTGAGATAAAAATAAAAATAAAAAGTGATAAGCACATACTGAAAACGAACGTAAGCGACGTCTTAAAAGCTCATCGAAAACAGCCAGATCGCAATTCGCATTTTGTGAAAGCCTGAATCGCCGTAAATTAATTATAAATTAATCAGCATTAGAAAAAAAAACATTTCCTGAAATAAGCCAAATAAAAAAGTAACACAACCATTCCTCTGCTCATTCGGTCCAAGAACCAATTTTTAACGATTTTAAGCATATTTTTTAGTTGGAAGAACGAAAACCGCCTTAATTTTCGATGAAACAATAATACCATAAAAAAAAAAGCATTTAATTAATATAAAACTAAGAAACAAGATAAATGACTGGAAGATCGATGAGATGTGTGTGACCGAAACGAGAAACGAAGTTTTCCAACGCAGAAGCTTGCCATAATGAGTTGGAACCCCTCAAAATCTTCTATAACTCATTTAAAAAAACTCGCCGAGTCCCGCTAATTACTTCTCAAAAACTCCAGTTACTTTCCTTCAATACAAAACCAAGCAAAATTTTTCCGCCTTTTTATTAAATGCATTGCCATATATCATATTACCATTCAGCCTATACTACATTAGCCATCTATTTATAGATTAATTCCACAGCCGTACAAAATTCATCTTATACAGCCATCACAAAATATCAGCTATAGCAAAAAATGTTTTGCAACCGACAAGAGGAAATTAATTATCTAACTCGATCGTCAGACTTCTTGATGAGAGCGAATGAAAAACTTAAATTTAAAATAAAGGATTTGAAGATGGTCTGAGTGCAACACCACATTTAATTGCATTTAGATACAGGTAAAGTGAATGAGCATATTGGCAATTATTTCGCACTAAAGGAGAAAGAACCGAGTACTGTGGCGAAAAAGTTACTCACATTGCAACCCAAGAAAGAAGCCATGCCACGCGATAGACAACCACTCGAAGATATTCTTAAAGAACCTAATAATGAGCCCAACTGTGTTGGTTATAATGAGGGGTTCCACACGATTAAATGATTGAATGTCTTGTGGGAAGCAAGTATTATTAAGAAAAAGCTTATGCTTTTCCGCAAAACGAAGATATTCTCCAACAGCGTACCCTGATACCATATTTGCTAATCACCGAGTTTATCGTGACTTACACGCAGTCCAGCCTCTCCCGATTATAACCATATCATTTTTCTGCAGAGATGTGTTACTAACAGCTTTAGTTTAGAATATGTCCTTATCGTCATCTTTGTGGAAAGTTGGAGCATATTGTTGATTGAAATATTGCAGAATTTTCTTTTGAAGCTAGCATAGACCATACGATCGTTTACCAGGTTTGCGCTCAGTTACAGCGGACCGAACTTTTTCAGACTAACAATTCGCATCGCTACGCCATTTTGTCCCGTTATCCGAAACATCACAATGATATAGCCAATATCTTTGAGCCAGGTTTGGTAATTAGTTGAGACCGAAGTGGAAAAAAGGATCTTTCATACAAACGGATTAATCCACACAGTATTTAGAAAAAGTATGGACAGTGGACACTTGGCTTGCACGTTCAGAAGCGTTCTAACATTCCAGGCAGCTTTGGCCAACACTTGCGAAAAATTTTAAACCAAAAGAATTACAATCATCATCTTAAAAAAAAACTTAAAATATAAAACTTAAAACTTAATCTTAACTTAAATTAAAACAAATTTAGTATAAATTTGTGAAAATTTACATTGTTTGAGTATAAGATGCGCGATAGCTTTTTGATAATTTTGATTATAATCAATTGCTGCACTTTTAAAGTGATCTTTGAGAAAGAAGCGAATCTTCTTAGTTTTGTTATTTTTGAATAAATCTCTACCTAAATAATTGCATAAAAATTGCCGAAGATTGATAAAAACAACTGCATTAATCGGTGTTAATCGACGTTTATTTTTCTGGATTCTCAACAATGATCATGTAGACATTATAACCAAACTAAATTCCATCTTTTTCACTAATACTTTTCTGCTCATTCATCAAATTCCCGAATCCCGACAGTTGAAAATGCTGCCGTGAATAACGCGATATGGATGAAATTTTCAGTCCTTTATTTTTCATTGTATATCCTTATATTCTAAAGTCTTCCTTCATTACTCACGATACTATAGTTATAATTTTTTTTCCTCACTTTTTGTTTATTTTGTTTGTTTAATCTCAAAAACATGGACAAGGAGCTTGGATTTTTAATTTCTGGTCGAAATCGGCATTGGCGAATAGAAGTGTAATCGAACAACTAATTATAAAACTTTAAAAAATATAATTTTATAGATAAATTCGCCCAGCTGCGTTCGCTATCTTCGTCTTCCATCTCCCATTTCGTTCATAATCTTTTCCAAGTTAAAAAAGAACGAGGAACAAAGCAAAGAAGAATTAAAATAAAGATGAAACAGATGGTGAATAACTAAAAGCTCAAAAGGAACGGCATAAACATTCAGGAAATATGCAAAAAAATTCTTTTCTTATTTGAATGGGAAACTTTTATTCATTAATTTTTCGCTTTTATTCTATTTAAACTATTTAAAAAAATGATAATAGCAATCAATAAATTATCGATAAACTTGATAACTTCATTTCTTTCTTTTCAGTTTTATGCGAGAGCCCATTTGGAAACAGCAATTAGAGGTTTTCCAAACAATATTTTTTCTGATCATGGAATAAATAACAGACTCGCTTTCAAAATTTTTGCATTTCATAATTTTCAAAAAAAACATTATAGAATCATTTTATAATGAAGTCCTTGACAAGGAGCTTAGTACCAAAAACTCATTGTCATAAAAGCTGTATAAAGATAAGTAGAAAATATTTTGCCAAAGAAGAGAAAAAAGCAAACAGTAATAAGCAAAACTGGAAGCGACGCTAGATTATCTTAATATCTTAGAATACTACTATACTACTATTAGAACCGTCGACCAGGTATAACCAGACGCCACAGCACAAATGCTTATAAACTCCCAAGAAACGGAAAAAAAATATGACGAATTCATCCTCAACCTCACGAAGGAAAACTCAATGGATATTTGAATTTTTAATTCTTGAGCGGTCTCTTTTCTCCGTCGTTTGCTCATATTATATTATTGCAGCTAGTATGATTTGCAAAAAGATTCTCGATAATTCAGTAATTCATTTTGATTTAATAAACCTGATGTAAAATATATAGAACTCAGATCTCAGTTATTTTCAATAACTGCAAAATATGAAATACAACAGAAGCGAAATATTTAACTGCTGTCGCATGGACCTTATTGCATTTGCATTTTTCAACAACCCCACAACTGATAAAAACAGCACAGAAGGAAAACATTATGAAATTTCCTTTCAATTTAAGCGGCTATATTTATTCATATCCATCCGACTAACTAAACAATACTTTTTTTTTTTATATTCTATAGAATTTACTGTTGCAAAAAGAATAGAAACACCCAGCGTGGATAAATCTGCTTTATTCAAAGAATGTTATACTGAATTTGCTCGGAAAAATCGTTTAAACCACGGATTTGAAAATAAAATTGGAAAATAAATATAAAACTTGACTTCTATTTTATATAAAAATATAAAAAAGAAAAAATCTTTCAAGAAACGAAAGCAACTTGGACTCGAAATTTTGAAAGGCAATGTTACTTTCGCAATGCGAGAAAATTCTTAATACGAGGAAAATTATAGAAAAAATGATAGAACTCATTCTCTACAGTTGATTCGCTGCATAAATCTGTCGCCCACCCATGGTAACCACATTGGCTTAAAGATAAAAGCAAACGGATATATTGTGATCTTGGTGATATTTATCTGCAATCATTTTTCCAAATGTAAAGGGCATCAAAAATAAATTTTAGATTGTAAAATAAGTTTGCAACAAAAACAAGATCACTGTAAAACTAACGACGTGAGATGTAACTTTTGTCTCCACTCACCTAAGATTATGAAAAAAGAAAGAAAGGATTAACCAGTAAGAAATGTTGTCCTCATTAGAAATAAACTATAGAAAATATATAAAGAGGTTCTTTTGACAAATCCACTTCCTTTATTCTTGGTTAATAAAAGACTTGTTCCATCAAGAACAATTAATTCACTGAAATTCTTTCATACTAAAAAAAATATTTTGTTTTGAACTAGAATGTGCTAGAACTACATCCAAGCTACTGAATAATCTATTCTGAATTTTGTGTGAACTTGTTTATGCAGATAATCATCCTCTTCTAATATTTTCCTATTCTGCCTAGTTATTCCCGTTCTGTAATGTTGTTATAAAGAACAAACTTCTATTAAAAAATATTTACCAAATGGCATAGTAATTAGCATATCGTTTTATTAAAGCGAATCATAGAAAATTTGCGATATTTAATTTGGTTTATTAAATGAAACTTAGAATGATATAAAAAGTTATAGGTTAAGTTTCAATTGTTTCATTAATAACTAAATCTTTAACCTTTTAATTTCCAAAATCAAGTCGCTAAATTGTCATCTTTTTTGTTCTTTTTTTAAAATCATTTTTTATACTTGCTACAATTCTCTGGAACATCGTCCTATTCCACTTCCTTTCAGAACACCGTTCTGTGAAATGAATCGAAGATAGAAACAAAGCCAGTAAAACAAGTGACAGTGATTGGCGATATTTTAAGCAATATTCTAAGCGCTTAAGTTTAAAGGTATTATAATAAAGAAATGTCAAGAAGTTTCAAGAGGTATCCAAAGACGATCCTTCTCATCCGTAGAAAAGATATTTTCATTATTGTTTCAGTAAAAAAATAAAATGATTAAACAAACTAATGAATTACTAATACTTGAAAGTATAATTTAAGTTATAGAATTTGCTATAAAGAATCCCAGTAAAAAAAATTGTTACTTGTGACAAAAATAACCTTTGTTTTTCCAAAGCTTTACAAGCTTCATTATGGGCGTTTGATAATAATTCTTCACCCTTCTTTTTCAAACTTTCAATCGCTGAACTCGTTTTCATAAAATTTTCATTACACTTGTTCGACATTAATGAAATTTTGAAACTTCAGAAGCACAAAGAAATCTGAAAATTTTTCGAGTTATATAAACTTTCGCAATGATTAGGAAAAACTACCAAAATATTCCTTATTTCTTGTGCAATGAAAATTTCAAATAAGTACAAAAAAAAATTCATGCAAGATAACGCCAATATAATAAAAAATATTTTCAATTATCATATTTCTTTATTCGGGTATAGGATGGGTTGTTGCTCAATTCTGAGTACCGTGGGGTTCTACTGCCCGCAGGAGTAAACCTGTCCGAAAATCCGGGTGATGCCGAGAGACTCACCTGTACTATCGCTAAGGGGCTACCTGGCATACTTGTCCAGTGCGACAAGACAGCGGAGCGAGTTTAACTAGTAATAGTAACCAGTAACGGTGACGACTCTTTAAAAAAATTTCTTTATTTAACCATCTCCTCTATAATTTAAAAATTTTTATTTCCTCAGTTATTTTCTTCTTTCTTTAGTTCTTATTTGACCTTTATAAAATAAAGTAAAATCTACTCATACAAGCGTTTTAGAGTATGAAAATATAAACATTTGTTCGCCTTGTTGCTTAATTATGTTTGCAAATTTGCAAGTTGACAAATTTGCAGCAATTTTGTCGCAACTAAAGCTTCTAGCGAAAAATGAAAAAGGTGACCAGGCAAGGACTAAGAATAGTGTCCATAGACTATTCTAATTAGATATGTGCCCAGCGTTGTCGCTAAATCCTACTTAGCGAAATATTTTAAAGATTACTTTATTTCACTACATTATTTTATGCAATTAAAATGGCAATAACGACTGGGAAATATGTCGAATACAATGAACTCGCAAACCGAAACTTTTTTCAGGCGTATGTATAGCCGCTGAGATAAACTCTTAACGAAGGCGAAAAAAATTGACGAGAGGCTGCTTGCTGCCGAGGAACTGCAAGCTCAACGCAGGGATATTAAAGGAATGCGGCGCAAAGAGAATTAAGCAGCGCGGCTTGCGAAGCGCAGAGCTATTTGAACGGCCATTCGCATTTCGCAGCCGCGATTTAAGAGGTTTTCTTTAAGTTTACACGTACGAATCGCACATTCTTATTTTCAACACTTTTCTCAAATATTTTTATAATAAAAAGAATTTTTTGAAAATTAAAGAATATATTTAAAATTTGAATCAAATAAACGCAGAATTTTGAATGCACAAAAACGATTTCTTTTGAAAACCAAAAAAAGTGGCAAATTGAAAAATTAAACGAGTTTCAATCAATTTGCCAAAATTAATTTCGTTCAACTGAAATTTTAAAGGGAAACAAAACTTTTGGGAAAACTTTCAAATAAAACTTTAAGGCTCATTTTATTCAACTAATTCACCTTAAAACAAATTTTTAAAAGGAAAGCCCCTACGAATTGGTCTTAAAGCGAAAATTTGTTTTCGCATCTGATGTTCATGAAAGCGAAATGGAGAGAATGGCTGCAATCGTAGGCATACTGTAATCCGAGTGTTTTGTTTTCTTTATTTTTCGTGTGACTGAGTTGTTTATTTCAGATTTGCTGCATAGAGTCGTTCAATTTTAAATGGAGGAAGGATTGAGGTGGAGGTTGGGTCGTTTGGAGGTTTAGGACGGATGAAGACGTAAGGACACTTGCGGCGGGGAGTGCAAAAGTGACCAGGAAAGTAACCGGCCGCGGTCAAAGAGATCAGATATTAGACATAGGTCCATGAAAGGAGGACAGAAAATAATGAGGCAGAGGGGGCTTGCAAAAAACCACAGAAGGGTTTAAAATTTGGAGAGGGAACCCCTCCAGTTTGGAGAGAGGGGGAAATTTTAAACGGTTTTAAACGCTTTATGACAGGGGAATCGTAAGTCAAAAAAGGCTATCAAGCAAGGAGGTAATGTTGGAGAAGAGAGATGGCGTAAGACGCAGATGATAAGGTGACATACATATTTGCAGGAAGTGTTAAGTGTATCTTCAGGAATTAGGGTAAACTCGGAATGTAATTTAAAGGAAAGTGGTTGTTTGAGTTGGGACATATTAACGCGAATGAAACGTTTGAGGACATGTCGATGATTTCATTATTTAGCGCAGTTTTATTATTTTCAATAATTCATTACTTAATTTACCGAAATTTAGACAGAAAAAGAAACCGTTTCCACTATGTCGAGTGATGAACATTCCGATAAAGAGGTTTAGCTGTTTTTTTTTTTTTTGGTAGTTAAATGTGGTCATTTGTTGTCGGGAAAAAATTTTTAATAATAATAATACAATTTATAATATTAAAATTAATTTGTTCAGTTTATTTTTCAATTTCAACTTTTGACATTCTAAAAAAAATGATTTTTTGATGATTTGGTAAATTTGAGTGAATATATATTTATTTTTTTATAAAATTTTATATGAAAAAGAAATGAAAAATGAGAAGTGGAAGATAAATTAAAAAACAAAAATAATTATGGGAAATTTTACTCCTTGTTACTAGTTAATTTATCAATTGGCGCATTGCAATTCTTGTTTTGTCGACTGCTAAAAGGTGTTATATTTGCATTTATCGTTTGTTTTAGTGTCCTTTATGTATGGAACCACTCGAAGTCGATGATATATATTTTTATCCGTGTAAGTGTGGCTATCAGGTGATATTTTTTCTTGTTTGGTTTTTTGAGAATGAAAAAAATTCGCCTTTTGGTCGATGAATCATTCATATATTAATAGGAAAAGAGAAAAGGAATCTATTATCAAATCGATTGGGATGCGCTTTCTTATTTTAGTTTTCAGCATAAAATTTTTTTCAGATCTGTAGGTTCTGTTGGCATCGAATCAGGACAGATGAAAATGGTCTTTGTCCAGCATGTCGACAACCATATCCTGAAGATCCGGTAAATTTCAAGCCCCTGTCGTTTTCAGATGTTCAAAAAATGAAGACGGAAAAGAAACAGAAACAGCAGCAACAAAGGATAAAATTATGTGAATCGAGAAAACATCTTTCATCTTATAGGTTATAGGATACCATCATTTATTAAAAAACTATTTTAATTTTCATATGCATTTTTGATATGCAGTTTTGATAACATAATAATAATATGTTTTCTTCTAAAGTTCGCGATTTCTTCTTCGATTCTACTGGTTAGTTATTCGGATGAGATGCTTTTTTTTAGAGCGTGTATGTTTAACCATTAGTAATATCTTTATATTTCTGAGATTGGTTCTTTTCTTTCCTTTACAATTTCAAATATTTTTATCAAAAAATGTAAAAATAACCGAGAATAGTCTTGTTTTAGGGTTTTACAAAAAAATCTCGTATATGTAGTAGGTTTGTCAGCAAGAGTGGCCGATCCAGAAATCCTTAAAAAGCCGGAATATTTTGGAAAATACGGAAAAATTATTAAAGTAAGTATTATGGTAAGGTTTTCATTTTTCTTATTAATTTTTCCGGATATAACTAGTATGGATAAAAATTTATTTAATGGAATGTTAATATTTCTAAAATTTTATGTAATTTTATATTAAAAATATATTTCAGAAACTTCCAGTTTTGTTTCAGATAGCAGTTGGTACAACTCCGCAGAATGGCCAACAAGCAGCGTCTTTTACAGCATATGTAACTTTCGCAAGATTTGAAGATGCTCTTAAGGCAATTCAGGTTACATTCAGCATTTTCTTAAAAAGCATTTTTAATTTGTTTTATTTTTTTCATTGTTTTTCTGATCGTTACTGCATTAAATTTGGGGAAGTATTATTTGCGATATTACCAGAGCAGAGATTATCGACTAGAACACAAATACTGTAATCTAATTATGTTCATTTTTTGATGAATGCAATATAACGCAATACATTTTACATTTATCCATCTTTTTCTCAATCTTGACGTGAAAAATTGTGTGTTATATTATTAAATTATTTTATAAAATTTATTATTAAAATATATTATGTTAAAAATATTCGTCAGGCCGTTAATAATGTTCAGTTGGATGGTCGCATTGTAAAAGCTTCATTAGGTACAACCAAGTATTGTTCAAACTTTTTGCGTAATCAGCCTTGCCATAAATCAGTTTGTTTTTAAAATTATCTTATTCTTTTTTCCTGCTTTAAATTATCGATAAATTGGTTTTTTTTAAATTCACAGATATTTTCTAGTATTTCTAAGGATTATTATAGGAGTGTATGTATCTGCATAACGTAGCAGATTTGGAAATAAGTTTCACGAAGGAAGAAATGCATCTTGGTCGACATTCTGAATATGAAAAAAAACTCATTGAATCACTTATAAATAAATCTAAATATCAAGCTGAAGCAGGAAATTACGATGAGCGAACGCGCACGCGAAGAAATCACTCACATTCACAGTCCGTTATTTTTAATTTTTCAAGAAAAGTCTCCTATATTGTTTTTTTTTATTATTTATCAGTTTAAATTCAATAATTAACCAAAATATTTAAAAGAATTTCATGTTAAATTTCATGATCATTCTTTCTTTAAAAAGTTTATTCAATTTTTAAATTCCCAAATTTTTTTAAAGAAGCAACAGTACTGAAAGAAAAAAATCTGTGCAAGCAATAATTTCTGAAAACGATCTTGAAAAGTATTGTAATAAAGAATGCCCGAAAAGGATGGAGAGAAATAGTGAAGCAAGTATGTCGAATAGGTGATTATTATCTAATAAATTTTTTTTTATAGGAAATTTCGGAGAAAATTAGGTGAATTGTTATTTGCCTATTAACTTTATTAATTGATCATCGTTGCAAATTTTTCTGATGTTTTCAAATATTTTAAGGATTCTCAAAGCGAATATAGCTCAAAATTCTGCAGGACACAAGAGAAACGATAAAGTGCTCAAAAACACGGATACCGACGCTTCTGAAAGTCCAGTTAATATTTTTTGAATTCAGTTGAAATTTAGTGCTAAATAAAAAATTTCTTCAAAATTTATTTGCTATTTAATCAATTTCTTTATGGTATGTAAAATTTGATTTTTTTTTCTTATTTGTCAAAATCTGATCACTAATTTTTATTGCATTTTTTCTTTTCATTTAAAGTTTTTGCCTTTTGCCACAAATTTTCTTGCCTTGATAAAAATTGAGCAGAAGTCATCTAGGTTTTTATTAGTTAGATACGCATAATTATGTCATTTAGATACGCATATTGTTTGCTAATATTTTCAGAATTTATCGATCAGGGTGGATTCGCAAAGCGATATTACAAGAGGAAAGTCGAGTGCCGATGATTTATTGGTGTCGAAACTTGGCTTAAAATCTGAGAAGTATGTTTATTTATACATTTTTATTTTATTACTTTGTTTGTTTTACTTCCATTTTTTTTTATTCATTTACAGATCACGTTTGGTACAGTGGACTTCAACGAATGGTGCAATTTTGTCTGAAAATATTTCAAACACTGATACTTCTGAAAACGGTCTATCTGAGGTCATTTTTTATTTTACCAATATTTTAATTTTTCCAAGGATTTTCTAGAATTTAGGATTCTAGAGGGTATTTAACACATTTGGCTTGGTATTTTTTTGACAGATTATGAAATTATTAATTTGCAAAATATTCGTAAATTTACTAAAATTTTTAGTATAATTCTTTTAAAACAGTTTTTTTCTAATGTGTTTGTTTTTCTGGGTTTTTTTTTACTGTGGTATTTTTGTTATTTTGTTATTTTTGTTATTTTTATTGTGGTATCTCTTTGCAACTATGCTTTCGATTTTTCGGCACATTTTCAATGTGGCTGAGGATGAAAAGTGCAAATCTATTAAGTTCAAGCAGCAGTTGTTCTTACATTGTTTTAGATTCAAGAAGATTTATCGCTAAGATATCAGTTTTGTACAAAGAAAATTCAGAAACAGCACATAATTTTCAGTTTGTACTAATAATTTCCCGCGAGGCATAGAAATTTCATTAGAAAAACTTTTTTAATCTCATTAACATTTTTAAGAAATACAATCTTCTACAACTGATCAAAAATTAGTGATTAATTGGCAAAGTTAGAAGGTTGGCAAGAATTAGGCCAAGAATGGTAGGTATAAAACGTACAATCTTTAGGCCCAAAGTTCACCATCTTATCCATCATTTTCTACATGGAAGATGGTTGTTGAGAGAAATGTACCTGAATTTCTTAATTTCTTAAATCCGTGTGACTTTAAAAACCGAAAATTTTATAATGTCTTTTTCATGTTGAAGGAAATTTTTTATATTTTATGTCCATTTAAAAAGGCGCCTTATCATGTCCCATTTCATCCCAGATTTTCCGTAATTCCTTAGAAAAAGGATTGTTAGTTGCAAAAGGCTAGCACATTGTTGATTAATTTCCAACTCTCTTTTATGTACATCGAGTTCTTTTAGGCATACGAGACTGTGAATGGCATAAAGAGTCTGCAGAATGGTTTGATGGGTATCTCAGATACAAAAATTAGTGATTGGCAAAAAATTTTTTATAATAATTGTGTTGGTGGAGTGTCACTCAGAACTGATCCGTTAAATATTGTCGCAGAAAATTTGGAAAACTCGCGAACTACCCTTTCGCATTCAAATTTATCACAGAAACACAGTCGAATAAATATTCAAAGTGATGATGAGCTTGGTATCACTTATCTAGATATTTTTTTCAATTCTGATATGTGCCTTAAATTTTTGGATAATTTTCGTGGAAAGGAAAAAGAATAATGATTTGATATTGATGTAATTTAGAATGGTAATGTGATTGTTGCTTTTAACTGACAATTCCTGATAAATTTTCAATTTTTGGTAAGTTTTTACCGACTTAGTTAAATAAGTATTCCTTATATTATAATTTCACAGGTTTCGATCCATTTTCTGAATCTTTGAAAGGTCTGGCAGATCTTATTGAGGAAGAAAAAGGAATATCTTCGCAAATACCAGCTGAGGAGTACGTCTTTTAATACAAGAATTTCCTCATTTTATTTTTAGCTGCATTCGACTTATTTTATTTTAAAACTTATTTTTTTTTAAGCCGCAACGAAGGTTGTTTTATTTCACGTTTTTCAACGAAACAGCAGTCACAGCCCAGATGGGTACCTATCAATAATGCACTTAAGTCTTCTAATTCTGCTGACGATTATTTTTGTCGAAATCTGGGAATGACTTCTAGTATTGATCCTATCGATCCTTTTATTTTGCATGGATTTAACACGGATCGTCTTCGCACAACCAAAGTTAATAATCATTTCCCTATAAATAAGAATACAGGGAGCTTTCAAATGCCTGTTCGGCTAGTATCAAATTCACTCAATTCATCTTCATTACAGTCTCCTATAAATAAACTCTCCTCACATTCTGATCCATCTCCTCCTAGTCTTTTTCATTTTCATTCTTCGCAAGGATACTCTCAGCAGCATGGTATTAATCCATGCAATATCAGAAATCCTTCACCTGTTGGCTGCGATAATTCACAATTAACGGAGTGGCAGGAAGGTTTGAAAGCTTTGTTGCCTAACGTTAATGTTCGCTTTGTGCCGGATATGAATGTATCAAGTACGTTTTAATCAACTCGAGTATTTTACCTTTTAATTGGCGATTTATATATTTATATATATGTAAAATTATTATATATTTATTATATATAAAATTATTATATATTTATATATATGTAAAATTAGAATCTTGTGGAAAATCTGTTAGGAGTGACTAACCATAAAATTTATATTTTTTGCATTTAAGGCTATGCTTCAAACCAGCAATTATTCAGTTCTCAGCCTGTATTGCAGCAGAACATATTGGACAGTTGTAATCAAATGTTTTCATCAAATCACGTGATTTCGTCATTGGGGACGAATGCGTCGAGACATTTGAATTCATTTGTGCAATCTACTTCGCAGCAATGGGTAATGCCACCACCAGGATTTTCTTTTCCATCGAAAAATTAAATATTTGTAGATATGCAATTTTATTGCAGTTTAAGTTGTTATGACCGGTGATAGGTAATGTTATTAAATATTTGTATGGGATTCTTTATCATTCACCTTGACAGCTTTTTAAGAACAGTAATATTTATTTTTTGTAGTTTTGTGCCTATTTATATTTAAATAAAAGCTGAGGTTATTTTAATGTAGAAGTTTCTCGAATAAGAATTTTCGCAGTTGCATAAATAAGTTTCTAAATCGTATTACATTGCTTCAATGGTGTGTTTGATGTTAATTATATTATATCTTGGCCCTATATTAATTTTAGTACATTATAATAATATAAATTTTTTCAGTTATTTATTTGAATAAAGTAGTGTAGAACTTACTTACTCTGTTTAGTCTAATAAAAGCTTCGTCTAATTTTGATTTATAATATCTCCATAAGTATAGATTTTCTCATAAATAAATGAGGTGATAACTGTGATATCGTTTTTATGCTATATTAAGGCGCGTTGGTATCATAAAACTTATTGTATATTTTTTGTATGTTTATGTTTCTTGTGTTACTTTTTGTGGTACAGTGAGCAGGCTATATCACTTATTTGATTTTCGACAAATAAAAATTCGTTGATTACCATACTTTAGTATTTTCGTCGTACGTATAGGATCACGTCCAAATAAGCAATTTTTTCATACGTAGGGTGAACAAAGGAATTATATTCATATTATTTAAAAGTTTTAGGTGTTACGGTGAATGGATAATGTTTTTGAAGAATTCCTTGATTTTCCAGTTGAAAGTTTAGAAAATTTGGAAACTTTCAATTCATTAAATGAATTTGAGCAAGATTTATTAAAGAATGAATCGAAACTTTGTGAGGAACTTCGGAAACTTGATAAAATCATAGAACATGAGGAATCTCAAAAACGATTACCAAGTGGCAAGGCAAGGTTAGTTATAGCTTTTATTCGCTAAGATCCTATAGATATCTTTAACAAGAATTCATTTTTTTGGTTTGTAGTAGGTGTTTATGAGAAAAAGTAGTGCATAACTTAATGAATTTGTCGAAGAAAAGGAATTGATTAAACTTCTTTTGGAAAAAAGTTATAAAATAATATAGAGTTCGTGGTCGTAATCTTATTTTAAAAATTTTCAGAGAAAAAAATCTAGCACAGTTATGCGCAAAGAAAGATTTATCGTCGTCAGGAACGACAGTTAACTTATCGTCAAAAACACTACCAGCAGATATTCTTCAATCCCAGTGTTTATCACATTCTTTCTTATCTCGATTTACGAAGACTAATCCACTGAAAGCATATAAAGTAAATGATTTTTGATGTAATTTTGATTATTTCCAGCCTTTTCCAAGTTAATTTTTTATTGTTTTTTGCTTAGTCTGTTCTAAAGATATTTCCATTGGAGATTTTCCTAGATTTTCCTGTGAATAAAAAATAATTGCTTTATTATTTTATCTTGACTTTTTCATCAAAATTACTTTCTAGCTTTAAGTATGAAAAAATAATTCATAATAAAATTACCATTATAAATGAGTTGATCCAACAGGTAATCTTAATCTTATTTTATCATTTTCCTTCCGAAATTTTCTCACATTTAATTTTATTCTTCTTCTAATAACGCATATATATGAAATTACCATCGGACGCATTACCTATATTTCAAGTGTATTTAAAGGATAATGAAGTGAATGTTTTGACTAAGATGAATGTGGGATTTTATGGAGGTCCGTTGAAAAGACTTTGCGATTGGGTTAATGGAAAAAATCGAGTGAAAATAATGCTTAGAGGTCGAAATAGGATTAATTCTGTCGTTACGGCATTTATTACCGCATTTGATAAGCATTTCAATCTGATAATCAGGTTAATTTATTATTATTTAATTTAAACGAAAAACGAAAGTCTGCATCTATATATAGCGGTGATCCGTTCGATCTTGCTATATGGTCCTGAGACATGGCCAATGAGAGCGGAGAATATTAAGAAGTTATATGTCTTTGACCACTCTAGATAAATTTTATGGGTCTGTCGAACGGATAAAATATAACATGGTCGCTACCTATCTACCTTACCGCACCTCTTGGATTCACGAGGAAACAATTTTTTACTCAGTTATTTCTTTTGATATCTCAATCGGATTTGTTTGGAATGGGCAAATCCTTAGAAATATTTTGAAATTTTAATAAATCGTTAAAACGACCAAATTTAAAGCAAAAAGATATAATTTATGTTGGGTGATATGAGTGTTATGCTGTTGGATCGAATATTGTGAAGGCTTTCTTTAGGGATGAAAATTATTCGAAATTTTGAAGCACGAAAGTCAGGAGCTCGGAAAAATACACCACTTGTTAACAAAAGGCGCGTATATGTATATATTTCATAAGGTGTATGAGAAAAGTAGCCCGTGATAACGTTGAGCCAGCATCGATTGCCGATACTAATTTAATAAGAAATTTAATAAGATTTAATAAGAAATTTAAATATAATAATTTAATAAGAAAATTGACTAAAAAGAAATTCATTCTTACAGGAAATTTTGCTTTTACTTTTCACTGTTTGAAAACAATTTAAGAATGGTGAGATTTAAGGAATGGCACAGAAGTTTTTTGTCCATCTCGTAAGGCAGCATACTACAAATGTAAATGTGAATCACACGACTGCTTTCATCATAGAAAGTGCTTCAGAAATACGGCAGTTATTTTTCCTGGTATTTCAAGAAAGCGCAGACTTTTCAAACGACATATTAAAGCCGCTCTCATACGAGGCGATGAAGTTATTTCCATACAGTGCAGTGAATAAAATGAATAATCCGTAAGATATCTAAGTGCTCAAATTAGGGATTTGCTCCATCGAATAGTTTTCTCATCTTTCAATTTATTACGTCTTAACTAAATTCATTTGTCTATACAATCACTAGCATTCATAAATTATTTTTTATTTTATTTTGGCTTTTTCATGTTTCAAATTTAGAGAAAGTATATTTCTACACTTCGTATAAAGTAATTGTATTAATATGTCATTTTATAAATACATTTATATATTTTTTATTATAAATTTTCTATATTTTTCCAATGTACAATGAGTAAAATAGTTTGAGGAGACGATCAAAGAAAGTGAGCTATATATCCCTTGGATTTTTTTATTCTTTTATTAATAATTTTTTTATTTCATCCGTATTTCTTTTAAATGACTCTGTGGAATTAAAAGATATGCAACTCATTTCGAAACAAACTGGAATCTCCTTGTAATAAAGGAAGTTAGCAATAATGCGAACCAATGAAGGGGTGGAGTGCATATAGAATATATAGCAAACAAAAAATTTATAGATATAATAACAAAGAAAAAAATTTTCACTTCTACATATTTATTCACTGGAGCGCAACTGCCTTAGCTTCGCAAAAAGTTCGTCGTTCCTTTTATTCATTTGCTTACCCTGAAAATAAAATAAGAAACTGGGAGATCTATTTTGATCTCTAATGGAAATAAGCAGAAAATTGAAGCAAAAATTGAAAATGGAACCTTTAATGTAGACAAACAGAGAGAGAATTGTGTCGCTATATCTGATGGAAGAATTATTTGAAGAGATTCATCAAATCTAAAAATAAAAGAAAAATATAAAAGAATATAAAAGTGAAAGTATAAAATAGAAAAAAAATGAAAAACGATTTTTGTAAATAAATTGAAGATGTCTTATTGAAACTGGTTTTGCTGGAATTGTACCAGTCTTTGATACTCTACTAATGAGAAATGATAGGGATGTTTATTATAATCGAAATAAATAAATAAATGATGCCTAATATGTGGCACAAATATTTTTTAAATGGGAATCATAAAAGCAGGCCAAAATATATTGTAAAATTAAGTGCGCGAAAAGTCATACAACTCCAAATTCGGAACTATCATTGTAACGCTTATCTACCAAAAAATCAATACCTAAGTGGAATGCACGCTCGTAACCTTTGAAGGCAAGAAGAAATTTCGTGTTGCAGCGTAATATGCTCAGCCGTCGATACAACATGCTGATCACAAGGCACCTAAAAATATACTTCGGTTAGCCTTTAAAATTTCGCAAGAAATTCGCGAGATATACATTTCAATGGACTACTTCCTGAAAAAACATGAGTACAAATGGAAAATATCACTATCGAATAAAAGAATAAAAGAGTCGAATAAAAGAGTCAAGAAGAAGAAAAACATTGAGAAGTTCATTCGTTTATTCACGGCAAAAATATTCAAATTATAACAATTTTATACAAAAATTTCGCGACAATTTAACCTGAAATGCTGCGATAATTGCTTGTTCCCACAAGAAGTTGAAGGTCTTAATATTCTGACATGAAAAAACCTTATTAATGATTGCAAACGCGCTTTTTTGAGCTGTGGTATCTGAGCAAGTGCAAAATGATAAAATGGATGATGAAAGACGATTAACAAAATCAGATCCTGAAACCAAATTTTTCACAGCCATATTTATAAAGAATAACCACATAAAATATGTAATAAATTTTGAAAAAACATTTCGGCCTAAACGTTAATATGGTTAATAAATAATTTGCAAAATAATTAATAATTATTCGGTTGATCAGGCCAAATTTGATAACGATCCACCAAAGTGGATCATTTTTTCAAAAAGTTTTTGTTCATTAATTTATAGTAATCATAAAATTTAAAACTATAGGTGGTTGAGATTATTTTCCGTTTTTTGATACATGTTACCTATTTTAATCGAAAATGAAACTCGTCCTTATTATAAGATTTATTATTTTTTTTAACATTGTTGTTATTACTGTTATTATTTTTATAATCCTTATACTACCTAAAAGGTTTTATTATTATTGCCATTGTTACTATTATCCTCATAATATATTGCTGGAAAATTATTATTATAAATTGTTGTTTGGTAATTTTGCTTTGAAATATTAGATTCGCATAGTTTAATAAATTTGACGTTTTGATAAAAATCATTTAATTCCCTACGTATCTAAATCCGCTTTATTGTGTTAATCAAGCATTTGCAAAAAAACCTCACCAGCTTTTCCCTATTCATAATTCAATTATCAAACTTGTAAGAATTAAAGTACTTATACGCTTTAATCGACAGTTACCCAGTTTTTTAAAATGGATTTACGAATGGATTTTATAAGGCGATCTTTTATTGAAATTTACATAAACTAATAATCTTCTAGGAATAAATCTGATTTTAAATCTGTTAAGCATACCATTAACAATTAACAATGGAAAAATATCAGAAACCACAAGGGTCGACAACAAATGGAGATATGAGCGATTAAAATAGCAAAAATTACGAGCAATAATTTCATCATCTGAATCAAAGTTTGATTTTTGAATATTCCAAATTACATCGAACATTAAAGACAAATTTAAACCCGTACTCATTATTCGACGCTGAAATTATTCATCATGGAATTGAAATAAAAATAAATTTACGCTTTTTAATATACTCTATATATAATTAGTGATCATTAATAGTGAAAAAACGCATATAGCAAAAATTTACCTTAAATTTAAGAATGATTTGGTGAACAAGTATAAGAAAATCATTAAGAAGCTTGAGATTTGCCTCAACAGATAAAAATTTATCGAAAATTGCAGGAAAATACTGCAGAAGTTCATTATCAAGACAATTAACAATTGACTGCAATAATTGACGAAAAGAATCCAAAAGATCCACTTGCTCACTAGATATGCGCTCAAGGAAAATCTGAAGCAAACTTAGAGCAATAAAGAAGATAAAAAGATATAATTATCTTTGCAAATAAAATTAAAAAATATTATAATTATCTTTGAAAATAGAATTTAAAATATGCTCAAAGCAAAAAAACCCAATATGGTCGTCGATCATCATCTATTATTTATGAAGTTCGATTTTTTAGTAAATTTGAATTTTTTTAGAACAAAAGAAACAAAAAATCTCGCAAAATCAATTGCAAAAAATAATAAAAATCAACAATACGTTTAATTATGAGGGCACATATTTTCAATGAACATTTTAAATGAGCTTCCTGAAATTATTTTAGCTGATAACTTGAGCAGATTAGTTACAGTTGTCGATATTTTACGACTCAATGTAAGCTGATCCCATGTTTCTTTTGTTTCGTGATTTGCTTTTCTTCTCAATCTTGTCATAATATAATATTTTGCATCAGCTTGAACTTACTTTAAAATATGAGTTGTATTCTGCATTCACAATATTCCATCATTCAGTTACCTCTTCTTTCTTTGCGTTTTCCTTTTTCAATTTTAATATTTAATTTTTTTATAATTTTTAACTTTGATATGGGCGTAATAATTTTATATTCTCGCACAAATTTCTTCTTCTTCTAAAAGCTATCACCATTATTGGTTAGGCTGGCTAGAAGGGCAAAACGTCTCCAAGCTCGATCCGATGCCATCTTTAGTCATTCCTTTTTCCATCGTCTAAATCAATATATCGCTGGTCCCTCTACATGTTCAAAATCTTTCTCTGACTAGTCTTACTGGTCTATGTCTTGACTGGTCCTCCTCGCCTTTGATACCAACAATAATATCACAGATTCCACAAGTAGCGAAATATGCGTTAACTCCTGTAGTGGACGACGGAGAACGTACCCTAACAAGCGAAGGCGACGCTCTGTGATAACATTATTAATACAGGTGGTATTTGAGTGAAGATGGATAAAATCATGTGCGATTGTATCAGCACGACGAACCCATATCTTTGACATGAGTGGTCAAAAGTTGATAGCTTTTTAATATATTCCACTCTCATTGACTATATTTCGCAACCATATAGTAAAATAGAATGAATTGCCGCTATATGGATTTTCGTCTTTATGGTGATTTCGTGACGGTTCCATCAACCGGAAAACACATTTATAGCTACCGTTATCAGGGTTAAAATTTCACCTTTTGTCTTGCCATTTCGGATTAGAGTGGATCCAAGGTATTTAAAATTAAACACTTCCAACCGGCAATAAATTGATTAAAAAAAGGTGCTTTATCAGCATTTTTCTATATAAGACGAAAATATTTTCGTTATATTTACATTGATAAGAGACAGCAATGGCGTAAAATGCCTTGCTCTAAGTCTTGGCAGAAGCCAAATCCTTGGCAAAGCCTCGAAATGAGTGTTGAGCTATGCCGATGCCTATGAATAAGTCCTGGTCCAATCCTAAGCCTTCGCCAAACACTCTGCCGAGGCCAAATCCTTGGCCAAGCTTCAGAATCATAGGCATATGCCAAGGACCTCTTCCTGGTTTAGTTCTAAGACTTGGCCAAGCCTCAGAATCATTGGCCTATGCCTAGGACTATTTCCTGGTTTAATTCTAGGCCTTGGCCAAAGACTTGGCCAAGCCACAAAATCATTGGCTTACGCCTAGGACTATTTCCTGGTTTAATTAAGAGTATTAAGGATCGCCTCATAAGATGGAAAGAATTCTTTGAGGCCAAACTTAACCATGAAGCGCCATCTGTTGCCCCTGATATAGCTGATACCGAAGCATACGTTTGCAATTGTAAGCCTCCAACAGATTAAAGCCAACAAAACTCCAGGAGAAGATGGTCTTCGAACTGAGCTTTTTAAATGCTGTCTATCGTCATTCATAACGCATCTTCAACAAATGTACTCTTTAGTATGGAAAAAAGAAATATATTCTCAAGAAAGGTGATAGGACATACTGCGACAATTATCGAGGAATCAGGAATTAGACGTCTCAGCAAAAATTTTTGCTTCCCTGCTACTCAACAGACTTATGGAAGTACGATGGTTTCAGACCAGGGCGCATCGTGCTGACCAGATATTCACGTTAAGAAGGGTGTTGGAACATCGCTTCAGATATTTGCAACCCACTGTCACGTGTTTCATCGATTTTGCGGCTGCCTTTGATTCAATTGATAGAGCGGTGCTTTGGAGGGTGATGGAACGTACGGTGTTCCAGAGAAAATTATTAGACTCATAAAGGCATTTTATGAGCGCACGTCGGCGCAGGTCTGTGTATAGAGGGAGCTGACAGATTCGTTCGAAATAAGAACAGGTGTCCGTCAGGGCTGTGTCCTTTCCCCCACAATATTCAACTATGCGATAGACTGGATAATGGACACTGCTTGTCGGCACTCAAGAGGTGTCCGAATTAGTCCAGAGCATCGTATCATAGATCTTGAATACGCTGATGATGTAGTCCTTTTTGCTGACAGTTGTAACGAAATGCAAGTAATACTAAATAACGTATCAGAAACTGCAGCAAGAATCGGACTCAGGATCAATGTAAATAAAATGAATGCCTTTTCGTCTTATGTGCAAGAAGCTGATAAAATGCCTTTTTTTGTAAATTCATTGCCGGTTGAGGATGTGCCTGATTTCAAATACCTACAAATACTTGGGTCCACTCTAATACCAAATGGACAGGCAAAAGATGATATTTATAACTCGAATCACGGCAGTTAGAAATGCGTTCTTCCGGTTGAGGAACCTTTATGGAATCGTCGTGTAATCATCCATAAAAACGAAAGTTCGCATCTATATTGCCGTGATCCGTCCGATCTTACTATATGGTTCTGAGACATGGCCAATGAGAGTAGAGGACTAGAGTAGATGAGTATTAAGAAGTTATCTGCCTTTGACCACTCTTGTATAAGGTACATATTACGGATCCGTCGAGCGTATAAGATATCACAAGATCGCATCCATCTTCGTTCAAATACCACTTGGATAAATAATCATTATTACCACAGAGCGCCGCCTTCGCTGGTTAGGGCACATTCTCCGTCGTCCACCACAAGAGTTGACGCATATTTCGTTACTTGCTAAACCGTGTGATGTTTGGCGTCAAAAGCGAGGTGGGCCAATCAAGACCTGGACTGATACGGTCAGAAAAGATTTTGAACATATAGGTAGACCAGCTATATATGGACTTAGACGATGGAAAAAGGAATGGTTTCCATTACTGTCGACGATGGCTCAGATCGCGCCGTTTGGAAGTGTCATACCCTTGAAGCCGTTGGAGGGCCTAACCAGTAATGGTGAGAGCTGTTAGAAGAAGAAGAAGAAAATTTATATTAATTTTGAGTCCAGTTCTCGCTGCAGCTGTTGAAAAATTGTTTAATATTATTTACAATTCATTATAACTATCAGCAAAAAGGACTACATCATCAAGGTATTCAAGGTCTGTGATGCTATGCTCTGGACTGATTTGCACATTCTTGCACAAATTTACGATAATCGGAAAAAGAACTTTATCAATAGACAGAGTAAACACACATTGATATACCTTTTCAAACATGGAAAATAACACTTGAAAAATAAAATTTATCTGAATTTTTTAAAGATTATTGACGATAAACAGCTTTAGAAAAAGTATCAGCTGAAGGACTTTTATAGACAAGACATAAAAAAAAATTAAAAAAGACTTAACTTACTGATATAAGTCGCGAGAATATTTCTGCGCAATCACAATTTTTAATATATTCTGATGAAAAAGGCTTAGCAACTCTTCTGAAAAAAATTATTTCGTATTATTTTCTTCGCAACAATATGTAAACAATTATTTGAAAATTTTTTTTTAAATTTTTGATTTCACAATAAACTGACATTAAAAGAACCCATTGAAGAAAGAAATTTATAATCATAATTTATTAATAATAATTAATCATTCACTGAAATTCATTTATTAAAGAAAAACTAACGCGCTATAGCCTACAACATTGCATAAAAATTGATATATTAATTGTCTTTCTTCAGTATTTTCGCACTTTTCTAGTCGATCCATACCATCCAAAAATTTCTTTAATAAAGAGTTTAAAAGCTCAGTAATATACTGTTTTTTCATACCATTATTCAGAGAACCATGAATAATTAAAGCCGATATAGCCTCATAGATACATTTCTAAATATTGCATAAATAATAACTAAAAATTCGAAAAAAAATTCTATAAATTAAAAGTAGGAAACAGAAAACGTGGATGGATTAAAATTCAAATGAAATATGAAAATTCCAAGTGATTTAGTAAAATAAAGGCGTGTGCAAGGCAACTTTCCAAAAAAACCTGGTCATCATATGTCAAGAAACCACTTGTCGAAGAAAAGCCCAAAAAATCAGTCAAAGAAGAAAGCACAATTTGACTTCGATCTCCAAGCGCTTTCCTGAAATAATCCGGACTATGCCAGATTGAAAAAATGGCAGTTCAATTCCAGAAAAAATGGAAACTACAAGTTCTTAGATTATAAAATATAGATTAATACTTGTGAGTTTTCACAAAACGACAGAACAAATAAGCGCAACGAGTACGCAAACGTGAAGATGGATGACGAAGACCTCTATTGTCAAGAAACGCTTCCTAAAGTGGAAATATATGAAAAAATCTTAAAAGAACATTCATAATCCAACAATCAAGTAAGTGAAAAAGACTATCGAGTCTAACTATTCAAAACTTAAAAAATTGTTCAAACCAGAATACAAACCAGAATAGAATTCAGAGGTTTTGGATCAGAAATTAATAATTTTTCATAACGACTGGATATATCAAAAAATAATTCATTTATGAATGAGATACCGCAACATGTGACATTGCTGGAAAGAACCTAGAAATTATTATCTGATGAAACCTATTTCGAACTCGAGAGAAAGATGCAGTTAAATGATAAGTACAAAAGGAATTAAACCAAAAAACCAGAAAATAAAATATTACTTGAAGAATGAGATTTTTAGCTCTGATAGCAGCATCAGTCACACAATTTGCAAAATTGTTCTGCAAAAATTCGAGATTTTGAAACCATTATCGCAAGAAAACCAAAGAAAATTGAGAGAAACTTTCAAAGCCTGATATATTCTAGGGATAATAATGGCCCACTAGGATTGTTGCTAAATTCGGAGCATCTATGCTGAGGTTCTATTCCTTGCAGGACCTGTCCAAGAATCCGGGAGAGCTGGCGACTCACCTGTACTTACCGAGGGATTCTCTGGCATATTTGTCCAATGCGAAAAGACAGCGGAACGAGTTTAATCAGTAATGGTGAGGATTCTTAGAAAAAACTCTAAAAAAACTCTAAAAACTTACATCTAAAAAAGAAGACCTCGCTTGATCACCAGAGAAAAAGATAAATACCCACAAAAAAAGTAGACTTACACAAAATATTTCTGAAAGAATACTGGTAAGCCTCAAAATTGTTTCGATTTGCGAAATTTTCATTTGTTGCCAGTTGTCACAAAAAATTTTAACGTTTTCTTCGAGTATTCGTAAAACTTCATCAGGTGCCTAGAATAAAATTTTAGTTTAATTTCAAAGATTTCAACCAGAAAGATTCCAAAACAAATAATATGGAAGAGTTAATTGGAGCGCCGGTGATGGAGTTCTATTTCTGGCAGGAATAAATCAATCTTTCAAAAATTCGAGTGGCGTTGGCAACTGTATTTCTATCAATTATCAAGTGGTTCTTTAGCAAAATCTTTATGGTTAGACAAGTAAACCTATAAGCAAACCTAACTATAAATATAAATATATATATCAATTATATATATATATATATTAATATTGAGCACTTTTCACATTAGTGAAGCTCATTTTCTCATTTCAGAATGGCAACATTCTCTACTCGCGAATGGAAATTTACTTCAATAAACAGTTGAAAAAAAGTATTAAAAAAACTATACGAAAGCTCCAATAGTGGTAAGCAGTGATTTCAACTGCTTTCGATATTCAAAAAAATCAAGTTCTTCTTCGCCATCATTTTCAAAATTAAAGTTGTCAGGCGCTTCGAATCTAAAAAAACTACCGAATTATAATAAATCAAAAGATAATACGTCTAAAGAGATTATTACTTGTTTAGAGTAATGATCGCAACTTGTCTGAGAAATGAAATAAATTCTGGATTAACCACATTATTCTTAAATAGCCCGATGTATCGACGCAAAAAATCCAAGATAGTCTGAGAGACTTCCATGTTCTAAAAGAATTATAAAAAAAACAAGGAAAAGTTGAATTATGGAAAAAATTTTAAAAAATAATGGTGAAAAAAATAAAACCTCTGACGAAAAACAAAAAAGCATGGGTTGTAGAAGACTATTTACCGCATGAAGACATTCTTGAACTCGATCAAACTGTTGCAAATTTAAAAAGCTTAAAAATATTTTTTTTATTCAGTTGCAATAATAAAAGAAATTAAAAAATAACAAAGCAATCTGATGAACTGATCATAAAAAATATGCGATATTTCAAATTTTTGGGAGTAATCTGACCTATCATTCACTTCCTAATTAATATAAATTTAATTTCTCCAAGAAAAAAAATTAAAATGATCATAGCACAAGATAAAAATATTGTTCATTTTTCAATAAAAGCAAGGGTGATGAAGAATTTGATATTTGCTAAATTTATTTTATAGGGCAAATTTTTACCACAGAGACTAAATCTACCATTCAAAAAAACCCGAATAAAACCAGCAATAAATATGAAAAATTACTCATAATAACAATCGATCAGGGAAAGCGCAATTGTATTAACAAGTAATCCAGTATGAATTATTAAATCCACATTATCCTTAAATAGTACGGGAAAAATTAGGTCGATGCATATGAATAGAAACTTCAACAAGATAAAAAAAAAATGAAAATTTTCCATTCTGAAACAAATTTTTACATTCAATTTGAAATTACAGATTAGTAAATATGAACAAGAAATCAGAAAAAATAGACCGCATTTGTCGAGAATAATTTTTTTTCTTGGAATAAAATTAGAAATGCTTTGACCAATTTGAATTTTTCTTCAGTACTCATTCCTTTTTCGATGATAGCACATAAAGCATGAGTTGCAGCCTCACTTGTTTCCTCTGACTGAGCACACGCTTTAAAAAATTTAAAAATTGAAAAAAACCCAGAAAAACCAACAGATCAAATTCAAAAATTTTCTTGAATTATATGATGATAAAATGACATTCTGTCAACTTACCAATTATGAGAGGAATTGTTGCATCATTCACCACAAGATGAATATCAATCCAATCAACGTAACAAGTTATTACTTCTAGACATAATTCGCGTATTTTTACACCACTGCTGACATTCTAGATAAAAAAAAAACAGAAATTTCTGTAACATTACTATCATTAAGAAAAAAATTTAAGACCGAAAATTTTATAAATGATAAAAATGCAGATGATATAACTTGTACTTCAAGCAACATAAATTTAAATATTTTATCTAACAAGAATAAAAAATTTGAATCTAACATAATAACGCTATGATTTAATTTAAAAGCCATTTCTTTCGTTTTAAGCAATCAAGAAAACATTTACTAAAAAGTTGATCCATGTCCCGGCAATGTCATTAATACAATATTCACGCATAGCATCTTTTATTTGTGCATTTCTATCAAGCATCTGCAAAGTAAGGGGTTACGTGAAAAGGGAAAACTATTTAATCTATCAGCATATTCACATGACAGATGTTAATTTCTTATTCTATTTCATCACAATTTGTAATATTTCAATACCAGCTTTGTTCGATTTATATCTTGATCGACAACTTCAGCATCAAGCGCGATTAGCGTTCGCAAGAAGAACTCAACAGAAGCTGCACAATTAAGCTTTTGCAGAAAAATCTGAGAAAAAAAAATGAATAATAAGGTTATAAATACATAAAACAGAAAAATTGAAAGTTTGGGCTTAAAAATTATGCTCGCAAATAGATTCGATCTAAATCAATATTAAAAAACATTTAATTTAGCTTTATCAACTCACCTCATGTATGAAATCTGGCCAACGCGTTGGGAAATCCGCGGCAAACACGAGCGCAAAGAGCTGAGCCATTTTATTACAAAGATAATAAGGATTTTCCAATGAACACCTAGAAAAAATAAAAATTATGGATTGCAATAAAAGATTCGACGAAATTAATAAAAAAATCAGTGAATATTTCTCTTCAGTGATAAAATTTGCTAAAATAACGTATTTAATAAAAAACGCACAATTTATCCATCCAATTCATCATCCACAGCTTGATGACATCCTGATCGGAAGCATCATTAGGATAAATATTTGAGAGATATATCTCAAGTACATGCAATAAAATAAAATGCTCTTCGACATTCCTGCAAGTAAATTAATAGAGCCTAATGCTTTTAAACCAATGCAAAAAAAATCATTCTTCTCTCATAAAATTTGAACAAAATAAAATGAAATATAAGCAAAACATGCCGATAATTTCCTTCAATGATATTCATAATGCAATATTTCCACCCATTGGGGTCGCTTTTTAAGCTTTCAATATATTCATATAACTGCAAAATTTCGTAAATTTAATTTAAAAATATAGAAAAGTTTTCGATTTTAAAAGGCAAAAATATCTACTTCTGCACTGTGAGCAAATTCAGTTGTCGATAAAGGCTTCACACCGAATGCCATATTCTTAAGCTAATATTTTTCTAAAAAGATCTGAAAACTTTAAAATGTTAATTTAGCACAATTCAAATGTAATGCATGATCGACAATCTAATAATACATACAAATGAGAAATACTTTAGAAAGTAAGTATATACTATTTACTAAAATACTATTCGTTTAAAAAAGTACTATTCGTCGTATACATCTTTTAAGGGAAAAACTTGTACAAAATCCGTGATGCTGGCTACTCACCAGTATTTCTATCGCCAAGGGATTCCCTGGGATTATTTTGTTTTTATAAAATGAAGCAAAGCACTAACCATTTTGGCTAACGAAATATTAAAAAACGATATAGAATAATATTAAATAAAAAACTAAAACAGTTATCGCCAAAATGACTGGTGAGTGACGACATAAGAGACACGAAGGTTTATGCTGAGCAAAGGTTCAGAATTCACGTCCAAATCGTACGATGGTACCCTTTCATTAATAAAGAATATGAAGTAGGGGGGTACGAGCAACTCACCTAAAATTCCGTCGCAACTGATTCGACGAAACGAGAATTCCCCAGAGAACTTATCGACTACTACTCATCCCAATTTTCCCCTTTCGAAATTCCAAAAATGCCTAAATTACTTCATAAAATGTGATTGGAAAAATTAAATTGTCCGAGTGAGAAATGAACTGAAATTGAACTTACGATGAAAAAAATAGAAGCCGCTCGGCTGCCGTTTAGCGTTTCCAAATCATTAACTTGCAGCCCTCGTCGAATTTTTTATTTAAAAATGGGGAAATCTTCTCATGGCTATCACCAATACTGTTTAGGTTGGATCCACTGACTATAAAGATATCTCCAAGCTGTTCAGTATGACGCCATCATTGGCGCCATGATAGAAGAAGCCATTCCTTTTTGCACTCTCTATATGCATCGCTGGTCCGTCTGCAAGTTCTGTCTTTCCTGTCCTCGCTTTCGACGCCATCCGTCACAAGGTCTAGCAAATAGTGAAATAAATGTCAACTCTTGTGGACGGCGAAGAACGTAACGCACTAACTATGCTATGGTGGCATTTTTAAAGCAGACAATATTTAAGCGAAGATGAAATGCAATCATGTGAGATTTTATCCACTCGGCGGGTCCATAAAATATATCATGGACATGAATTGTCAAAGGATGATAAATTCTTAATATCCTCTGCTCTCAGCGGCCACTTCCCGCAGCCAGATCGACCGAAATGCGACTAAATAGACGCAGAGTTTTGTTTTTATGATGATTTCTTGATTACTCCATAAAGCTTTCATCAACAAGAAGAACGTTATCCCGCTTCTGCGTCTTTCGCTTAGCCGTTTGGGATTGAAGTGAGATATCTGAAATCTGGCACTTCCTAAGTCGGCAGTGTTAATGGCAAAAATAGGTATTTTATCAGCTTCCGGTATATGAAACGAAAGGTTTTCGTTCTATTATTGAACGTGAGTCGAATTCTCGCTGTAGTTCTCAACACATTTTAAAGCATTGTTTGCATTTAATCGTAACTATCAGCAAAAAGGACCATCATCAGCATATTGGAGATAATGGAGCCTTAACAGACACCTGTTCTTATTTCGAAAAGATCTTAGTTCCCCATATACAAGTCCAATTTACGCTAATATCTTTATTAATGACATTTTCTGAAACACCGTCACATTCCATCAGAGTGCTGCTCTATCAACTGAATCGAAGCTTCAAAATAACTGATGCAAGTAACGGTGGGTTGCTGACATTTGAAGCGATGTTCCAGTATTCTTTCTATCGTGAATATCTGGCAGCACAGCCGCGTTCCGGTCTGAATCTAGTTTGTTTAGGGTGCATCATGCAATCTCGTAGTGCCATAAGACTATTTAGTAGGAAAGAAATGAAAAATTTCCCGGAGATGTCTAGTAGACTGATTCCTTGAATTTTCACAATATGTCCTTTCATTTTTTTTTAGGAATTGTGATCAGAATTGCTTTGCTCCAGTCATCTGGTATTTTTTTTCCATACCAGGGAGTACATTCGTTGAAGGTTCCCTAGTTCCCTATTATTGACTAATGGAACTGCCTTCTCAATTTTCAAGTCCATCTCGCTCCAGTAATGATTTCTGTCTCGCTGTGTTGCTGTCGTTGCAATTCTTCAAAGCATCCGATAGTCCTCTCACAATTGTGCTTTGGCTTTTCCGACAATTGTCAGTTGATTCTTATAGCCATCTAGCGCATTTCTTGCCAATATAGCTGGATATGCCTTTAGTTGGTTTTCGACGTTCCAGATGTCTTTAAGATGTTTTTTCATATCACTGAGTTACTTCAATAATTCGGTTTGTAATGTACTTGCTATCCCCGAATCTTTTAGTTTACTACGATTGACAATTAGGAGGCGTTGTTTCTTGCGAGTTATCAATTTTATGCGAATCTTGGCTCTAACAGGTCTATGTAGGTCATTAGTTTCAGCGCTCCGGTAGGAATAGGAACAAATATCTAGTACGGAAATCTCTTTCAATCTCTTTCAATGGCGAATAACTAAAATGTAATCAACCTAGATAGATTTTCTCACATGATCGAATGTCTTCTCCGTTGTCGGAAGCATGTATTAGTAAATAGGAAAATAATAGTTTGATTATTTGATTTACTGTGTCATATATGGTGAGGATATATTTTCAATTTCCATTCACTATTTCATCTTCATTTCTTTTCACCATTATATTAAAATTAGTACAGCTGAACAGTAATGTATATTGCTATCGCATTGCTATAAAGTTTTCTCGTCACTAATTATTCTATCGGTGAAGAATATCCTATAATAGCACTTTTTAGTTTGGCTCTCTATATTGTCCATTAGGATGACAACTTCGCTAAAGCTTACTTGAGGATATAAATAGGGACATTTCATAAGCACTTCCATCTCATTTTTATCGACAAGTTTGGTGTCGTTAAAAGATAGATTATCTCGCCAATGCGTGTAATGCTGGTGACTTTTCTGTACTTCTATCGCCAAGGGGCTTTCTGGCATATTGGTCCAGTGTGGCAAGCCCAGCGGAGCGAATTTAACCAGTAATGGTGAGGACTTTTCAAAAAAAAAATTATCTCGCCAATAATTCGCAGCACCATATACCATATTTGCAATCTTTTTTAATTCTCTTCATATTAATTGCTTATCGAAATATGTTTCTTACTTCGAATGAAGTAACAAATTTCTTTAAAAAGTTAACCGCTGTTATTCATTAATTAAAGATGATTAATATTCCTATAACTATTCATAAAAATTCATTATTATTAATTAATAAAACACGAAATATATGGAAAACACCGTTATTAAATAAAAATGTTGTTGGGAAATATCGGGTAAGTATTCCTTTTTTTAACAGAATGGAAAGAAAGCATTCAATAGGAATCGTTTTACGAATTGAATGAGAGGTTAGCGCGATGAATAACTAGGCGACTGGTTAAATAAATTTATTGAATAAGCTGGTCTAAAATTTAAGGTCAAGAATTTCCGAGGTTAGAGGTCAAATCGAGAACAAAATTCTTTTCTACATTCGCTTTTTCAAATAATAATTTATCAATTTCAGTCAACAAATGACAATTCACAATTGTTAACATATGAAATGGCGATGAGGCCTCAGTTTGTCGGTGTGCGTAAAGCTTGGCTAACCTGGCATACACAAAATCTTGAAAATTTTAAATTAAGACAAGGACAAACGGTTCCTTTTAACTTCTTCGCAATACTACTTTTTAATTACATATATATATTAATTTTATTTATAAATTTATAAATTTAAATTTATATAAATTTATTTATTTTGTGGAAATTCGATTAGGCGAAGAAAATATAATTTAATTTATAGATAAGATCGGTGGTGCTCGAAATGGAATGTGGTCATATATGAGTCTCTAAAATTCTTTCACTGGGTCCACTAGATCAGTTATTTTTATAAAAAAGCATATTATTATGGTGGGGCTTCGAAGAGATATGCATGAATTTTATTGAAACTATCATTTTTCTTAGTTTATTTTTTTCGGCTGAAAAAAAACAGTCATTTTTATTAATATAATATAAAAATCTCTCTCTAATCTTCTGTGGGTAACAGTGATCATCCTCAACTTTGGGTCTTTTAAAAGACCCAAGAGATTCTGCGCAATGTTTTGGCTGCTCTAGTAATGCGTTTTTCTGGATAGAGATCTCTGATATGGAATATCTTGAAATCATTTTTCTAATTCAAGGTTCGCATTTGTCCAATTATCAGTGGAATTACTTTGAGCGTCACTTTCCACATCTTTTCTATTAGTTTCTTTTTTAGCCTCTGATATCTCTCCAACTTCTCATATTCTTTCATCCTAATATTCCTATCACTTGGTACAATGCTGATTTCTGATTCTTGTCTATTACCACAATATCTGTTTGATTGGTCAGTGTTTGTTTGTCTGTCTAGATGGAGAAGTATCTAGCCTTATTATTTTCCACGATTTTCTAAAGAATCTTCCATCTAATCTTGGGAGAATCTAAACTATATTTCGAGATATTCTTGTGTATTCTTCATGCCGGCTATTTGGTTATACCTTTCAGTGTGTTGTTTCTACTTGCATTTTACATTTTCCACTATATGGTGGACTTTTTCTGGGGCTTTTTGGACGGTCTCATCAAATCCTGTCTTTTTTGGTAGATCCCTGCTTCAGTGGATCTGCCCTTACTCTTGGACTGCTGTAATCAGTGCATCAGTGTTACCTATTAATCCGGCTTTCTCCACTGGTGGGATTTCTTAGTCAACTATCTCAGCTATCTATTGATGATGCAACTCATGGAAGGTCTTGTTTTCTCTGTCTATCGATATTATTTCCTCTTTTTTCAGTGTCTGTAGATGTTGAATGCTTTATAGAACTTAGCAAGACCCACCTTCTTTCCGGCTGTTTTACAGTCTTTGAGTATTAGACTTGGAATAGAAATTCGGTGCATTGTGAGGACTTTCCGAATTTTCACATGAACAGCCTCCATGCTTTCCTTTGTCCATTTTACCATTTTTTGGAGATACTTAAATGTTGCAATCTTCCTTATCTCTTCATCATATAACTGAGTGATACCGAGGTACTTATTAGCTAGTCTAGATGTTTGCCATATGTCCTAATGGCAAGTTCATCCCATTGCTACTTTTTCTCTCTTTACTGCCATCGAGCCGCATTTTTCTAACCCAAATGATATCCCGCTTCCGTTCCGTTAGATGGATGAGCAAGTCAATTTCTCATTCATTTTTTACTTATAACTTGATGTCATCCATTTAGAGATGAGTGACAATAGTCCCGCTCTTTAATTTGTATCTATGTTTGCTTTTGGTGATTATCTATCTGAGGGAGTTTAGACCAAGTTTAGACCAAGTAGAACAATAGGGGAGGCCATGCATCGCCTTGGCCACACATAATAGCCACTTGTGCAAGCTTTTTCGAGTTGATTTCATGTATCGTTTTCCACAGTCCCACTGTTTTCAATGAATGTCTTTAGAGTCCTGTTTGACTTTATATAGAACCAGATATTCATAGATCCATGTGTGTGACATTGAGTCATAGGCTTTCCTATAGTCATTCTAAGCGGTGCACAAATTGGTAGGTCAGGAATTTGAGTCTTAAGTGACTTTCTATGAGCAAGTGGTGTTCTCTGACCGGTTGTTCCCAGTGTCTTTTTAAATTGCAATTTTATACTGGTTCATATGGTCATAAAGTTTGGTGGTTGTGATGCCCGACAGAATTTTCCACATTGTGGGTAGGCAAGTTATTGGTTGATAATTGGATATTATTTTCTTATGAGGATTTTCCATGATTAATTTCCACAAGTTCATCTGTATCGTTAGACGCTCGTGAACTGCTGTTAGTTTCTTTAGCTAGTAGGTATGAATCATATCTGGACCCGTGGTTAACTTTTTATATTTTTGAGTCGCTGTTGGATGTCAGCAACGGTGATGGTGGCTGGTTTCTGCTCTGGGGAGTTGCTATGACTTATTCTCAGGTCTTGCAGCCATTTCGCATTGGTGTTTTCTTCTGCTTCTCCCATATATTCTTCCAGTATTATATATTGTATAGTAATCTGTTGATATTTGTTGTTGCCCTATTATTGCCATATATACTGAAGTTGATCGGATGCTTCCTTGGAGTATCTTTTTAGCTTCTGCTTCTTTAGTATATCTCCTTAGCCTAGTGGTCAGTGTTATGAGTCTTTGTATCAATCTCGAGGGCTTCTGGTGAGATATAGCCTTGTATTTTCCCAGCAACTCGATACTATTTTTCTTTAATAACCTTTCAATAATTCTATCAGTTGGCTAAATTTTTCGCATTCTGCTCTAGTCTTGTTTTAACCTCTTTTTCCAAGAGCGAAATGTTATGTTATTCTTCTTGATTTTATGTCACAGCATTTTCAGAATAACGGTAACTGTGGCGTGGTGCATCGATTTTAGTTTCAGTTATAGTGGCAGTAGGTGTCGTGAATTTGTAATATAGTGAAGTGAAGCGATGTCGAAGTTGAATACCACCAGCGATTTGACTGTTGTATAAGTCAAGTCGAATTGAGTGGTGTTAGGTTGGGACAAGTTGTGAACCAAACGAGATACACCAGTTTTTAAAAGCACAACACTGATTTAATACAACAGGGTTCATATCTCATTGATAATGGGAGTGGTTTATATCAAAAATTCCAAGCATTGTGACTAAGATCCGATTAGAAGATTAGCGTGTGAATTGGAAAGGCATTTTCCGTATAACAGGAATATAAAGATATGAGCTTTAGATAGAAACAAAAAAAACATGGGAATTTGAGGGAAATAATCTAAGGAATGCAAAATGACTCATAACAGAAAACTTATTTGATTACTTATTTGTTTGGAATTTGGTGGGAGTTTCGCGATATTAGAATTCGTGACAGTAGGAATTGTTACGAGATTCTGTTTAATAGTTAATTATAATACATTTATAGTTAATTATAATACATTAATTACATTTTATTCATGATTTTCTGCCTCATATCAACTTACTGTGTTTTACAACGGAAATATTGGAAAGCGATTTCCAGCTTCCCAGCTTGTTGCACGCATATCTCTTTATTTTTCTTCTTTCTGAATATTCTAGGTCTGGGGTATAGCGAGAATTGATCCATCTGAACTGAGAGAACAGCTTCATCTTTCTTATGTTAAAACAATGAGCCGCTAATTGTTCCTCAATTAGTGTAGACATAGGCTTTTTCTCCATCCACAGTATACTTTTCATATAACATCTTTGATTAGGTCTACTATTATAACAGCATTCCATCATTTCCAGATTACCATCTTTATTAACACCAGACTGCCCAGATTCCTTAGCCTCTGACGCGGACCTTGTTAATCCGAGCAATGTCCTAGCACTAAAGTATTAAGGAAATCCCAAGCACTGGAACGATAGAGGATTCGGCTGCAATTCGAACCGAAACATTGTTATTATATTCCATGTCAATTATCCTGAAGCATTCATCATCTACAGACATTGGAAAAAGATCAAGTAGAAGAAATAATATCGATAGAGATGCAAAACAAGCAGATCTTCCATGAGTTGCATCGTCGATAATTGACACTGAGAAATCCTATCAATGGTTGGAAAAAAGCTGTACTAAAAGGCAACACTGAGGCATTGATCATAGCAAGACACATAGCAAGATAAGAGTAGGCATATCCATTAAAGCAGGAAACTAACACACTAGACAGAATTCTAGATGCAAATTATGCAAAGATGCTCCAGAAGCAGTTCAACATTTTGTGTTGCTAAAAGCCAGCTGGTATTATCTCCTGGGATGTGTTTAATGTACGACTTATCCTCCCAAGGTTAGATGTGAAATTCCACACAAAATATTGGAGAATAATAAGGCGAAAATGCTGTGAGATTTCTTCACCCAGATAGACAAACATATATTGACCAATCAACCAGATATTGATTGAAAGTACTAATCATAGACATAGCTGTGCCAAGTGATAGTAAAGTTAGGAAGCGGGAATATAAGAAATTAGAGAAATTAGAGAAATACCAAGGAAAGAAGAACTAGAGAAGATGCGGGAAGTAATAACTCCTGAATTTAAAAAATGACTTCAGCAAATTCCGGGAACAACATCAGAAATCTCTACTCAGAAGAGAGTACTGCAACTAAAATTATAAATTAAATTAAATTATATATGTATAATACCTTAAATAATATCTTTATGTATTAAATATTTTATATTAAATATTTAATATTAAATATCAAATATTTTTTTCTTTTTTATTTTCTATTTTATTTTTCATCCTTCTTCAGTTTTCTTTTTTTTTATTATTATTTTTATTTATCTTTAACAAAAGATTAAACCGTAATATTAAAAATCCGAGTTGCTGGGGACCCACCTGTAACTATATCTCCAAACGACTCTATGATGAAAGTTTTTGACTCGGCGTCTACGTTCGATGCGAATGATATATTAAATATTGGTTCCAACTGAAGGAATATCTCCGAAATTCACCAATTCTACGCTAGAATATGTTGAAAGAAATTTTAGATGGGTATCAGAAGCAACTATCGGAAAAGTCTGTCATTGTACAAATATCAGGAGATCCTGATTATCGGATGTTTCTTCGAAGAATCGCAACGACAGTAGCATGGCGGGACGAAAATCTATATTGGAGTGATATAGCCTTGAAAACTGAGAAGGCGATAATAAGAAAATGTTCTGATTTCTTTAACTATAACTCGGGGAATGGCCAGTGAAATGATACGGCATAGTAATGGTGTTCTTGTTAAGGCTATGAAGAATCGCCTCATAAGATGGAAGGAATTCTTTGAAGCCAAACTTAACCATGATACGCTATCTGTCCTAAGCATAGCTGATTCGCTCGTCAAGCCATACGTTTGCAATTGTGAACTGCCAGTAGAACAGGAAATAATTTTTGTTATCCATAAGCTTAAGGCCAATAAAGCTCCCGGAGAAGATGGTCTTGCGCTCAAACTCTCCTTCACATCACGCCTTCAACAAATCTCTCTGGTATAGAAGAAAAAAATAAAAGGTGAAATAATAGTGATGCAGTAAAGTAGTTCTGCTCCCAATTCCTAAGAAAGGACAGTGACAATTACGGAGAAATTAGCCTACCATCATCGAGAAAATTTTCGCTTTTCTTCGCATCCATAGACCTATAGCAGTACAAGATATCAGGATTTGCCCTAACCAAGATTTAAGCAGGGATGCGGTTGAACTGACCAGATATTCGTGTTAAGAAAGGTATTGGAACATCGATTGAAATATTAGTAATCCACCGTCACTTGTTTCATTCAATTTACAGCTGCCTTCGATTCAGTTACTAGAGCAGTGCTTTGACCATTCATGTCTAAGATACGTTTTGCCGAGCGGATAAAATCTCACATGATTGCATTCATCTTCGCTTCGCATATCGAATGTTTTAACAGTGCCACCGCAGCGTTGTTTTTGTTGGTTTATTTGTTGGTTAGAACACATTCTTCATCGTCCATTATAGGAGTTGATATATATTTCGTAACTTGTTAAACCCTGTGATGGATGGCGTCAAAAGTGAGGAGAGCCAGTCAAGACAAAAGTGAGGAGAGCCAGTGAACTTATATGATAGAAAAAGGAAGATTTCTATTACCGTCGATGTTGTCGGACCGAACAGCTTGGAAATGTCTCAGCCTTGTGGTCAGCAGAGCCAGCATGACCAGTAATGGTGAGAGCTATTAGAAGAAATATAATTATATTACATTAAAATTTTGAATGAGTTAAGGAATTTTAAAAATTTCTTTTAATGCCTAATGTCACAAATATCGATAGATATGACTGTCTTTTTGGTGGTCCTCAATTATTTTTTACGAAGATGTTTTCTGAGAATGCAAAGCTGTTGAGAAAAGCCAAGTTATTCTGCGAGTTTGAATGCATTGCTCGTTGTTTAAATGGGCAAATTGCTGAATTTACCAAACATCATTGCTCTTTTAAAATCTTTCCGATTCATTTCTTTTTGTTACCTCTCATCTTGAAATGTTGTATTTGATCATGTAATTTAGGTTGCTCAAGATATGTTAATTCGCCGCTTTATCAATGGATTTTTCCCAAAGTACATGGAATTTCGAATTAATGAGGTTTTTTTTGAAAGAAAAATTTGTTGACCATACAACCTAGCAATCCTAAAAATAGTAAATTTTTTTCATCACATGCAATAAGCCATTTCCTAACTCCTTTATACTTCTGAAGTTCTTACAGCTTATAATTAAAAGGAGAGGCAATGTTGTTTTTGTTGGCGGATTTTTGCATTACGAACATCGACTCGAACCTTCCAAAATTTATTGGATGCATGGATTTGCCGAAGAATTCCTTTCAATTCTACTCAAACAACCAGTTAAACTTGAATTGCAGTTTGTTCCTAGTCCAGCAACTCTTGCTTACAATTATGTATAAATTTTTTTCCCAAAAATTTTATGTTGACAAAACCCATTTCAAAATATTACCAATCAATACCATCCAGAATGCTATATGACACGAAAAAATTAAAAGGAATGGTTTATTAATTTATGTGTATATATATATATATATCATATATTAGCATGTAAAAAACTTTCTGATAGAGAATAACCAACCTGAGTTATTCAAATACAATTATATATAAATATAAATTAGGTAATGAGCGAATTTTTTAAATTTTTATACTTTTATGTTTATGACCAGTTCACAACCATATCCTTTTCCCCATACTCTTTCTTCTAATTATTTATAATCATATCAATCTTATAAATGCAGTTCCACTGAAAAAAAAGATTCAAGGATAAAATAAAACGAACCTTAAGCTCTTTTCACTTATCATTTATCAATCATTTCAACTTTTTTACAGTGATGAAAATAGAAAATAAAATAATTAGAACGAGCAAAATACTAGACCCGTTTAAAGATTAATGTAAAAAATACCAAAATAAAAAGGAGATAAGAAGTTTCACCTAAAACCACGAATACAAAACTGCAAGTTAATAAGAAAATCCATGAGTGATACTTATTATCCATCCATAACACAACGCCATTTCTAACCAAAAATTTTTTTAAAAATCATCCACAAAAAAATTTGAGTGGAACTTGTTCTTTAAGGACAAAATTCGATACACAATACAAGCTGCGATGATCAGAAAACAGTGGTTTAATTTAGATGAAAAAAATGGAAATACAATTTAAATAAATATAAAAATTACAATTCTAAACTTCAACAAACTGAAAATAATTTTTTCGCTAAAATTAAAGAAACTTCAACATACAATTCAACAGTTTCTTTAAATAATTTAAATAAATTGTCCAAACGTTACAAATTTTGTTATATTGGAAAATGGATCGGAAAAAAAAAATCATTTGATAAGTTTAAGGAAAGTTAAAAATATCTCTCCAAGATCAGAAGAAGCATAAAACAGGAAATACTACAAAATAATATATATATATAAAAATTTTACTATTCATAGAAAAACAAACCACTACCAATAATCTAAAAAATTGTTTTTAAGTGTGGCAGCCCTATTTTAAACAATGAAGACCTTTTCGCTAAAATTTTATCGTTTAAATAATAGCATAGGTTTAAGAAAACTATCATTCACCGAATTATTCGAATGCATGTTACATACCTTCTTAATATTTACATTTTTTCGAGGTATTGCAATATTTTGATGTGTTGTACTGTTCGTTATTGGACTATTATCAGTCAAATTAGATAAAATACTAGAATGGTCGCATGAGGAAGGATTCGACGTCCAGTTATTCAAATGCTTCAGAACTGTATCTGTTTGTGCTCGCAATTCACTATCTGCTTCATCGTCTGAAGTATCTTAAAAAAATGCATAAGATTCAAATCAAATTTATATTGATATATGCAACTACCAGAAAAAAAGAAACCTGATGAAGATGAGAACTGTACATCTGACGAAAAGCATGATTTCAAGTGTTTCGGATTTTTTGAACCACCAACTGCTGGCGGAAAATTTGTTTGAAAAGATAAAGTCGATGAGGTGTTAAATTTTTCAACTGTTTTATGACTTTTAACAGATTTTTGATAAAACTTTTCTTCGTCATATTCAGATTTCGGATGGCGAAATATTATTTCTTCATCATTCACGCTTTGACAGCGATCGCCTGCAGGTATATCTCTACCAAGACGAATTCGAAGTTTCGGTATTTTCGGATGGGCAGTTAAATTTTGCGCAGCAATCGTATTATTAGATTCTTTTTCAAAGTGTTTTGAAGTAAAGGAATTATTATCCACTGAAATAATATTTCGATTGAATTTCTCTGCATCTGTTTTCTGAACTGGCGATCTTCCTTTCGTATCTGAAAACCCTTTATAATCTTGGTTGATAAATAATGATACAAAAAATCACCAATCATCAAAATATGATAGTTAAGAGGAATATAAAATTTAATAAAGCACTTGAAATAAATTAATGCTCTATTTGCTTAATTTCTTCACAATATCTCCACAGCAATTTTTATTTTTGAGGATTCTCACCACTGATGGGCTATCTCCACTGCCTTATCAGATCAGATAAATTTTATAGAGAAATTTAGCGGTTGAAAAGAACAATGCATTGGTGTTCTGAAATGGGCAGAACCGGCAAAATTACCATTATTAGCATAAAGACAAAAGGATTATGCAGAAAAATCTGCATATAATAAAAATGGGAACGACTGAGCCATTCCGCTTCTTCCTACTACCGCCTTTTGGCGACATTGCTGCCCTCAAAGACTGGTGCAGATTAGAACACCCTCGATATAAGCACCTTGCCGCTAAGCCACTAACACATTTCGTTTTTGATTAAATTAATGATTTATTATTTATTGAAATAATTTAAATAACGATATGATAAATAGCTCCAAAAACATACTATAATTAGAATGTAAAAAGCAGGATATCTCTGACGCATTACAAAAAAAGAATTTGCGAGAAGTGAAAATCATATAAAAAGCCATAAACCAAATAATAACAAAAATTTTAAATAAAGCTAACCGGCAGAACTACTATTATTAGCAGAAAAACAAAAAGAAGATGCAGAAAAATTTGCATATAATGAAGATGACTGCACACGTGAAATCCGCAATTTTATGTGATCTGACGATTCGTCATTTGTCTAAAATCAAATTATTTACAGGCAACTGAATTAAAATCATTGAAAATACCTAAGCTGGTTATTTAATATGCTTTAAAATACCTCATTTCTACTAAAAGATTATAATCTTCTTGAACTAAAATTACTATTTATTAAAAAATTAATTGAACAATAAATCAACGAGCATTTATTCAATTTTAAAAATTAAACCTCATTATAGCACACATATTCGAATTTTTGCCGTTTTGGATCTTGCTTTTTGCTAATTTTCCGTCTCTTTCGTTCTTTTTCGATACTTTTTTTAGAAAAATTGTTCTTTAGAGGTAGCTTCAATACGATTGGTCTTCTTTCTTCTTTCTAAAGTTAACAACGTTTGAAACATTTTTCTAAAATCATGAAACATTTAAACGAAGTCATTCCAGGCATTATATGGCAAGATAAGCGAGATATTTATAATAATCAATTAAGGCAAAATAAAATACTGAGGGATGCAAAATTTGGTATCAAAGAGCTGAATATTTAATGAACGTAAGATTAACTAAAGGAAGAATTTAGAAAACAAATTTCTGTGACAAAATTTTCACGTGAGAAGGGAATTTGTCAAAATACATTAATTGAAAAATTGTGAAAATAAATTCATTTCAGAGATAAATCACTCCATATTTAAATAAAATATCGATAAAACTTCAAAACAAAGGAAATTTATTAAACCTTAAAATGTACCTTACACATTTCGTTTTCACTGATGCCACCATCCACATGTAACTCCTCAACTTGATAAATTCTTTCTTTTGCAATAATTTCACTTGTACTTGGTAGCATTGAGCAACTGGAATTTTCTTTATAATCCATATTTGATAATCTCAGTTTCAGCTTACATTCTGTTTCCTTCACTTTACATTCGGTTAATTTTATTTTTTGCTTCTCTTTTGCATCATCACACTCATTAAATCCCGTTGAGTTTACATGAGGAGATTGATAAAATGAACTGGACAATTCAGGAGATGGACTGGAATCGACTGATGTTTCGGAATGTGCTGGTAACAAAATATCAGACTCATATTTGGATGAAGGCAAAATTCTGGTTTCATTTTCATTTATCTGAAATAATTATATCTAAAAAAATGAACCAGTCGACCTTTTCATCTATTCAATTTTACAACTTATAAATTTCATAAATTTCAGTATCATGATAATAACCTGTTGCACATGAATGTTTTTATAGAAAGACATTTTCGCTGGAGGAATATTCTCCTCCTCTCGCATACCAAATATCGCCTGCTGAATTTTGCCACACGCTATTTCTGCAACTGCATTAGCGCCACCTTCGACTTTTTTTTCAACTGTTAGGTCAACTTTTCCCATATGATCTGCAACGCCGTTACCAGATATCCTTTCTTGAGACCGTAACATATTCCTTTGTTTAGATTCTTCAATATTAGTCACTGAATCGTTACTAGATTCCACTGAATAACAAGATTCTGAATCTGGATATGGACTTATTACACGTGCCTTGATCTCCTCTTCCGAAAAATCAGGATATTCGAAGTTGATTTGAGATTTGTAGGTAGACCGTTTTGCTTCAATTTCTTTTCTTCGTCTTGCAATGAATTCCTCATTAATTACGTGAGAAACCGTTAGTTTTGAGAGAAAGGCATCTAAAACTTTCTTCATTATTTATTTAATTTGTGCAGTATAATAGTACTAAATTAATGGCATATTTTTGATCTTTTTCATTTAAGTGTGTTGATACAGCTATAGAAAAAAATTCAGAATTTATATATTTCAAAATTCATAGAGGCTCGTGATCGTTATTTATTTTGTAATTATTTTGTAATTTTAAATTACGATTTGATAAAAATTGTTCATATTAGCAATTTTTATAATGGAAATAATAATGAGAAAGTCGTCACCATTACTTGCTAAACTCGTTTCACTGGCTTGTCACATTGAGCATGCCAGGGAGTCCCTTAGCAATAGAAATACAGGTGAGTCGCCAGCATCACCCGGATTTTTGTGCAGGTTTACTCCTGCCGTCGAGCAACAACCTACTGAACCATTCTATCCCAGAAGTTTTTAATATTGAAATAATAATCCAATACTGATTCAAATATATTAAATTTTAAATTAAAATATGAAACTATTTTGAAACTATAGTTTAAGAAGAAAAACCTCGATCTTTTAACACCTCATGACGTTCCCTCTCCAGAGCTCGTCTTTCGTAATCGTGGTCCAATGCCAGTAATAAAGTAACTTCCTCTTTGAACTGAAAAAAAAATTATTATATTGTTCCTATAAAATGTATATAAAAATAGCACTAAAATAACAAGTAATAACCGAATCTCCTATAGATTGTCGGAAAAAAATATCCCTCATATGACGCTCAATATGGATAAGCCGGTCCGTCAAATGGACAAAGCAACGCAAATAATTATGATCAACTAAAACAAAAATTGAGATATTAAGAATTAATTTAAAAAATTAAAGTGGAAAATTAACACAGAAAGATAGGAAAAAATAACTGAGCATTGAAAAACAAAAGTGGAAAAAAAACTGACATTGACCAAGAGTATCATCACTGAGATCAGGTTCATAATAAAAATGAAAGGGGATAAGTCGTTCAATAACATCTTTTACATTTTTGAAGGGTGTATTAAGATCGGAAGAAGAGATCGATTGCAACAACTGTGAAAAATAACTTTTCAACCTAAATTTTATAAAAATGAGTGAAAAACTCATTCAAATATCGAAAATTCAAAAAGAAAGAAAAATATTTAATCATAAAAAACAATAATCGATTATATAATGTTCAATAATCTATCAAATTAGACACGGTTAATTAGCCTCGTGGAAGATGCGAGAATATACTAATTACCTTTAGAAATTTAGAAATAAAATGAATGGTTTCACGAAAGATAAATTAAGTTGAATGAATGTTGTTCAATACTTATTTGAAATATTAATTTGCATTTTTTATGACACTTCTCTTAGATTTCAGCTTTCATAAGAATGTTTCTTATAAAAGAATATATGCAATCGTAGTGAGGGTCTCATTCAGATTACAGAACGGTGTATTGTCTCAGATTCCTTAAATCCGCCAGTTAAACAATTATATCATAATTATTATGAGTGGTTTAAAACCACTCATCGTTTATACGTCTGAATTGGAATTATATAACTATATTCTTTATCACATGAATTGACGATCTAAAACTGCCAAATAATTTTTGGGTTTGTTAAAGTAAGTCATAGTAAATATTTTAGCTTCTGTTTATAGCAGTGGACTAAACCACTTAGACCTATCGGTAAAGTAATCTACGCACATCTAATTTTTCTATTCACAATATCAGTTACCGGAATAAACTATAGAGCGAAGAGTTTAATGAAATTAAATCAAGTTATTCACATCAAAGTGTTGTATACTGTTGACTTGTGACCTGTGTGCTATATGATCGGTTGTACCCAAAAAGTGTTCTGCTCATTAATCAATAGAAAAATCAATAGATTAACAAAGCTATTCTTATCAATATATTATTATATTATTATATTGTATTACCATCCCGAATCAGATGTTTTTTTCCTTCGTTGACACTTTTATTTTTAAACTTCTCCTTCTAAATCTAATTTAATTATGTCTATTATCTATCTTTGACGGTCATCAAAAATCCATATGGCTGCTGGGGGACCTATCTATATCTCTATTTGCAAGTAATTCTATGGTGAAATGGTCATATCTCTTTGACCCGACGTCCGCGTCTTTCGACACACTTCTGCCCCGGAGGTATATGCGATAAATATACGGGCGTAATAATTATAAAAAAATTTCAAATCACAAGCATAAAATTTGCTCGTGAACCGAGATAATTACCCGTCAAGAGAAGCGAGAATCTATTCGCTAACCTTTGCCAGCGCGTCTAGTAAGTGCTAGCTATAGCTGCTTGGAACGTCAGAACGCTTATGAATATTACAAGCCAAGCGATCACTGTCCCCATCCTCTCTAAATACAGCGTGGACTTGGCCTATTTGTCGGAAATCTGTCTTCCTCATGTCGGTTTTCGAGAAACTATTAAACCTGGTTCCAAGCAAAGATACTTGCTATATCATTGTCTCGGATAACTCGAAGCGAAATGGCGTAGCGATTATTCGAAAAGGGTCGATCCACTGTGATTGAATGGAAGCCAGTAAATGACTATATGTGCGCGTTTCAAGGGAAAGATCTGCAATATTTCGGTCAGTGCATATGTTCCAGCTTTATGCGCAGATGACTGCGATAAGTCCTATGCGGAGCTTCAACTACTAACAACATCACGAGACGTGATATGGTCATAATCGGGGGAGACTGGTATGCGCGCGTAGGTCATGATGCCGTTACAATGAACTCGGTAATTGGCAAATATAGCATCAGAGTCCAGTGGGCCAATGGAGAACGTTTTACTGAAGAGCATGAACTCTTTATTACTAATACATACTTTCCGCATTGGAGAAAATATCTAGTCATATGGAACTCTCCGGATTCCAATATTCCAATCAGATTGACTATATATTGGTCAGTTGACGTCGGAAGAGTACTGTACTTCTGTACTTGATAGTCGTTCCTATCCCGGCGCTGAAACGGATAATCTTTGTGGATTCTACCAAGTTCGAGCCAAGATCCGCATAAAATTGACAACAAGCAGAAAACAGCATCCCCAAGATTCTTCAACTATCTCAAACTAAAAAAATAGGGGACAGTGAGCTTATTTCAAAGAATCATTGAACCATCTCAGTGGTACAAATATCAATGACATTTCGGAAACGGCAAATGAATACTGCTCCAAATTGAAGGAATACCTCCGAAAATTAGCCACATGCTAGGGCATACTAATAGGAAGTGCGCTAATTGCGCTAGTTAATAGAAGCAACTGTTCAAATGAAAAAGCTGCCAAAGCCCGAATACCAGGAGATCCTGACTATTTCGGAAAATTACAGTAACAGCAGCATGGGAGACAGAAATCGCTATTGGAACGATATGGCCTTGAAAATGGAAGCTGTTCTGTTAAGTGATACTATTTCGCCATTTTCACAAAGCAACTATATCTCGAAGAAAGGTTAGTAAAGTGATATGGGATATCAATGGGGTGCCTGTTAAGGCTATTAAGCATCATCTCATAAGATTGAAGATATTCTTCGAGGCCAAATTTGATCATGATTGTCATTTACTGGCCTGGATAGGTGATTCTTGCTAAATTTAAGGCCAACAAAATCAAAGAAAATGCCACTCTTCAAATGCTGTTCGTCGTTCTTCATATTATACCTTCAACGAATGTACCCTCTGATATGAAAAAAAAAACAAAAGATGACTGGAGCAAAGCAATTCTACTTCTAAGAAATTTGACTAGACATACTGTGAGAATTATTGAAGAATCCACCTTCTCCTGCAAAATTTTCGCTTTCTTCTGCTAAAAGACTCATAGCAACAGAGATAGCAGAATGCGTCCAAACTAAGACAGATTCGGCAACGCGCTTGTGCTGACTTGATAATTACTAAGAAGGGTACTGAAACAACGCTTCAAATAATAGCAATCCACCGTTCACTTGCTTCATCGATTTTACAACTGCCTTCGATTCAGTTGATAGAGCAGCGCTCTGGAAAGTGATGGAATGTGACGATCCTTCAAAGAAGATCATTCTTCAAAAAGGCATTTTACCAGCATTCCATGGCGCAGATCTGTGTATATGGGGAATTGACACCCCTTCGAAATAAGAACTGGTGCTGGTGTCCGTTAGGACTACGTCCTTTCCCTTATAATATTCAACTATGCGATAGACTGGATAATGGGCACTGCTTGTCGGCACTCAAGAGGTCCAAATCAGCCTAGAACATCCTACCACAGATCTTGAATACGCTGATGAGTATAGTCCTTTTTGATGATAGTTATGCAAATAATATTGATAATAATTCAAATAATATTAAATAATGCAAATGCAAATATTAAATGTTAAATAATATGTCAACAACTACAGCGAGAACTGTACTCAAAATCAATATAAATAAAACGAAAGTGTTTTCGTCTTATATGGAAGGTACTGATAAAATATCTATTTTTATCAATTCATTACCGCTTGAGGAAGTGCCTGATTTTAAATACCTTGGATCCACTCTAATCCCAAATGACCAAGCAAAGGATGAAATTGTAACCCTGATAAAGTCAGCTAAAGTTGACGAAACCTTTATGGAACCATCGCGAAACCAACATAAAGATAAAAATCCTCGTCCAAACAGCTGCAATTCGCTCGATATTTCTATATGGCTGCGAAATATGGCCAATGAGAGTGATGACCACTCTAAGATACATTTTACGAATCCGTCGACCAGACAAAATCATACATGATTGTATCCATCTTCGCTCAAATAACAATGTTATCACACAGCATCGCCTTCGCTGGTTAGGACACGTTCTCCGTCATTCACCACAAGAATTGACGCATTGACGCATATTTCGATACTTGCCGAACCCTATGATATTTAGCGACAAAAGCGAGGAAGGCCAACAATGAATTGGACTGATACGGTCAGGAAAGATTTTGAACATATAGGGAGACCAGCGATACATGAACTTAAACGAAGGAAAAAGAAATGGCTTCTATAATGGCTTTTTTACTACTAGAGATAGCGTCGGACCGAGCAGCTTGGAAACGTCTTATCCTTACAGCCAGTGAAGCCAGCCTAACCAGTAATGGTGAGAGCTGTTAGAAAAAGAAATGTTGATATCTTACAATTCCTCATTTGTTTTCAGACTATCATTAATTCTGTTTCATTTTCTTTTTATACTTACATTGTTTTGCCTAATTTTTTTTATTGATACAAGCAATTGGTCTCCTTATTCTGCAAATGATTAAATGAATACAGTTAATTTTTAATTTAATAATCAAACAGCCAATAATACCTTTCTCCTCTAATATTTTTTTTATTTGTAAAACATGCAACAGCCTCGCTTTTACTTTGCAAGCGTGGTGGTGGAGCCACAGAATATCTGGCTGAGTTGGATTCTGCATTTACAACCTGAATAATTTACAACATGATGAATAAGGAATGAAGATCAATAAATAAGGAATGAAAATCTTGTTCATGAGAGAAGAAATTAAATTTTCATAAAACAATGCTAAATGTTCACCAAATTAGCCTGTTGCATTTGAACAGCACTATTTAGACGCTGTTCATAAGTATTGCGCTGCAGTGATTGAGAGATTGTTGGATAATGAGCATTTGAATATACTGGACCATTATTTTGAGTGGCACCATACACTACTGTTTGTTGTGGCTGCTCATAACTTGTTGAAGGTTGGACCTGATGTTGAACAATTTGATGAATTACATTTTGAGCAGTACCATACACCACCGTTTGTTGTTGTGATTGTTCATAACTTGTTGACGGCTGAACTTGATGTTGAATAATTTGGTGGTGCGTCGATGCTTGTGAACGATAATTATTTCTGGAGCGAACAGCAGGAATCTGCATTGATGAATTTGATGCACCTGTCGACGCCGCTGTCAACAACTGTACATCACTGAAATCCATGAAAGTCTAATAATGTCGGTAGAATATTGAATCAAAACATTTGAAAAGCAAATTTTTAACTAAACTATCGAAAAATCGAATCGAAAAATGAAAATCAATTCGAAAAAAAATTTACCCATGTTGTTCCACAAGAGTCTGAAAAAATATGGCAGCTCTTTTTTTCACAAGATCATCTATCTGTGCTGAGTGATCAACATTATATTGTTCCTGCTGAAAATATAAGATCGCTCTTGAGCTGATGAAAACTCCATTTATTCACATATATAAAAAATTAGAAAAATAAGCCAAAAATAAATAGTAATGTAAATAGCAAAAAATGCTACGAGATTAAAATAAATTTTAAAAAACAAATAAATGGAAAAAAACAGAGTTGCAATTCACCAGCGATACAAGCCTTTCGATTTCAGAAGATAATTTAGCAACTTGATCAGCATTCTCTTTACTTAATCGTAAGTCTATCTGCCCTTGTATTGGCAAAATATTGCGATTCTGTAGAGGATCAGTGGATGATTGTGCAGCTAACTGATTTGCCGTCGTAAGAACAGAACCCAAGGTACTGCCTTGCTGCGTATTATTCTACAAATAAAGAATTTCCATGGGAACACTTGATTATATATGAACTTACGCATATATTTCCCTTAAAACAAGAAAAATTAACCCTTCGTCGGCCATTTGCTCTAGGCTGTATATTCCGCTGTCGTGATCGTGGCACAGTAGTGGAATAACTAGTAGATGGTTGCACTGAATGCTGAATATATTTCAAAAATTAAATCATAGAAAACACAAATAAATTTATCAACTTACTGGTGAAAATAAATAAAAAAATGAAAAAACAAAATAAGATAATTGAGAAAAAATAAAATGCATATCATCTTTCTCCTTTAACAGCTCTCACTATTACTGGTTAGGCTGGCTCCATTGGCTAAAAGGGTAAGACGTTTCCAAGCTGCGCGATCTGATGTGTTCGTCGACAGTAATAGTCCATTATTTTTTTCCATCGTTTAAGTCCATGTATTGCTGGACTATACATTCAAAATCTTTCCTGACCTATCAGTACAGATCTTGATTGGTTGGCATCTTGGCACCACTCATAACACGATTTAACAAGTAACGAAATGTGGGCTAACTCTTGTAGTGGGTGATGAAGAATTACCCTAACCGGCAAAAGCTGTACAACAGTACTATTAATGCACGTGGTATTTGAATGAAGATGAGTGCGATCAAGTGAGACTTTGTCCACTCTGCGAACCCGTGTATCATAGGCCGAATGGTCAAAAGCAGATAACTTCTTAATATCCTCCACTCTTATTGGCTATTCTCGCAGATATACAGATCGAGCGAAACGTAGCCATACAGACGAGTGCTTTCGTTTTTATAGTGATTTCACGACGGCTCCATAAAGATTTCGTCGGCCCAGAGAATGTATTTCTATCTGGATTGTATTTCATCTTTTGCTTGGCATTCTATATTAGAATGGGTCTAAGGCATTTAAAATTGAATTGCTACATAACGAATAAATCGTGGGCGGTCAATCAGCTTTTCCAACTTTACTTTACTAAGATATAAGAAATTAATGATGATCACTGATCATTGGTTATTGCAAAATTTCGTCCCAAACGATGAGTTTTTTCTTTTCTTAAATTTGATTTTTAAATTTTTAAATTTAAATTTTTATTTTTATTTTTCCACTTTATCCTTCGAAAGGAGTAAGCCCATCAGATCAAAAATCCGCACAGATGTTGGAGACCCACCTGTAATTCTATCCCCATGATGAAAGGGTCAGATGGTCTAATATAAAGCATCGCTCCAAATTATTTAAGGTCTTCTATTTTTACCACCTTTTTCACAATATTTTTTAATGAAATTATAGCTTTGATGGAAAAAATGAAAACGACTATGGCATAATTGTAAATATTTATGCAGATTCAAAAAAATCTAACCAAAGTTGGACGCATACTACTTGGTTGAGAAAGCAATTGCCGCATAACAGATGGCTGTCGTACATTACCACTTGAGATAACCGTATATGCTATTGATTCTTTACTAACAACCGGACGATTCTGCTGTTGTTGTTGTGGAATGGTTTGCACAATATGCTGTAACTGTTGCGGTTGACCATCTTGTTGTGTAGTTGTAACCATTGGCAAATGTGTAACAGTTGGAGCGATAATTTGCCCTGTTGTTTGATTTGTTATACCACGAATTACACCAGCCGACTGCGATGGAACAACGAAAACAGTTCCACCATTCGTTTGTACTTGCTGAAGTTGAGCGGGGACAAACCACTGTCCTTGTACACAGCCCGAAGCTTGTGTTGCTATATTTCCTGTAACTTCAAAAATTTATTAACTGGTTAACTTATAACAGAACAATATATAGAATAAACGATTAATCAATTAGCAAATCAACCACACGCTTAAAATTAAACTAATGAAAAGAAACCATTAGAATACTGCAATACAGATGATTGTTGTGGCTGTGCAGTTAACTGTTGTAAATCTGCACTAGGCTGTTGAATTATGTGGATTTCTTGTGGCTGAGTTGATTGTGGTTGTTGCTGAATTAACTGAATTTCAGTCTGAATTTGTTGACTTAACTGTAAATCATTAGGATTTGGAGCATGAATCAAATGAACTTCTTGACGTTGTTGTGCAGTTGTTACTTGCGACGATAATTGTTGTAAATTATTATTAGTATGTAGCTGTTGTAAATCAGTTGATATCGGTATAACACCAAGTTCGGAACATATTGTATAATCGAGTTCAGTCAAGTCATTTGTCTGCGAATTATTAGTAGCATTAGCGGGAACTGCACCGACACAATATTGTTGCTGGCGTTGTTGAACAGGATTCGTCAAATGATGAAAAGTTGGTCGTTCATTTGGTTCAGGTGATAACTGCGGTGGTTGATCAAAACAAAACTGATCTCGTGTTGGTATCTGAGCCAAAGGTGATGGACAAGATCGAAGATTTGTATTCAGATCAAGCGTTGTTGCTGCATTGGTATGATGAGACGATGAAGGTGGTGACGTATTATTATCATCGTCTAAACTTTGCCTTATCCAATCTTCTTCACCATAACCTCTTGAACCAATCAGTTCATCATAAATATCCGATCCATCCATTTCATCAAAATTATTAAAATTTGTCGTGCCCATAGCTGCAAAATAAATGAAAGAATTTCCCGCTATTTGCAGCAAAAAATTTTTATCAAATTAAATTATGATTTCCACTAGAATAAAATATGCGAATACTTACTTTACGAAGGCAGAGAAATTTCGAAAATAATTCAGCAGTATCATTAGTTACTTTTTAGCCAGAAAAAACTTTTCAGTTTTATTAATAAAATAATATAAATAAATCTGAAATTTTGATATTAAAATGAAAAAATGGTAAAAGTGAGGAAAGCGATAAAAAACTTATTACAACGACAATGCATAAATGTAAATGTAACGTAATCGATAAACTGCTTATCAGCTTATCAATAATAACCAGAAAATATCCAAGGAGAGACAAGAATTTATACCAATAAACAATCCCAAACTAATCAAAAGAAAAAACCGATAAGCAATAAATTTTCTAAAAATATCGTTATAAGTGACGAAACAAAAATTAACAAAGAATAACAAGCAATAGAAATTATTAGATTTCTTTCTCGGTATAATCCAGCTAGTTTCCTCAGTTATTCCATCCAACTTATTGAACATCGCCATTCCAGAAAAGAAAATCCTCTTTTATTGATTATAAAGCACATAACAAAAAAATATACTTATGGATTGAATCCTCATCACATCCCTAGCAGTAATGCAAATCCACATTTTATTCAATATTTATTCGTTTTTTTATTGTTATAGAATTATTTGAATTTTGATTGTAAATTCTCAAAGAAAAAACCAAAATTTTAAAAAGTGAAAAACAAATTGGAAAGATAAATTTCAAATGAATTTTTCTTTAATTAATGAAATTCAAAAGATTTTTTTTTATACAAAAAATCAAAAATATTTAAATATTTTTAAAAGCAAAAAAAAGAGAAAAATTTACGAAATTTCATTTTTTACTTTTGCAATAAACCTTTCAGTAATGAAAATTAATTTTTTTAAATAAAAAATACAAAAAAAGCAAAAATATAAAATGAAATTTTTAGAATTTAAAATGTTTTTAATTTTATTTAATTAAGTACATCAAATATTTAAAATGGTGTGCACAATAAATAAACCTCTTAAATTGTAATTTAAACAATGATGAAATGACAAAAAACCCAGTCGATCAATAATAGAGGAACAAAAATCAGTGAGACAAGAGTAAACTGACTGATTAAATAATTTATAAGAGGGAGAGAAAATACAATGAATTATTAAATTACACAAAAAAATTAAAATCTCATAATATAAATAAACATATAAAATGAAAGCGAGCAATAATAATCAATTCAACGCTGAATCAATTTATCGATTTTTCTTACACAACCCAAGTAATTCGTTTCGTTCGTTTCCATTCTTTTTCCAACGCAACAATGATAACAACTCTCATTATATTATATACTATTTATGCAAATAAAATAAACATAAATATAAATTCTTTATAAATTATTATCTCACGAAAAAAATCACCTCTCACGAAAAAAAAAGAGGTGCAAAGGTAACCATAATTACCACCAAATACTTAGAAACTATTTGTCGTACCTATAAATTAAAACTTTAAAGAAAAATTGTCGGTGAAAAAACGGTTTTAATTAATATATGGTTAATTTTACAAAAAATTAGTAAATTTCGTTGATATTAGTTTAATTAAGGAAAAAATAATTTAAAAATTGGTAATCTCAATAATTGATAAAAAATAATTATAAATTTTAATAATTTTAAAAAATAATAAAATGATTAATCTTCTTGCAAATTTTAAAGAGAGAAAAAAATTTTACAAAGTAAAAGGAAGAATAAAAGAGGTTCTAAAAAACCGAAATATTTCAGCAGAAAATCTATATAAGGGAACAACAATGTTTTTCAATTATTTGAAACTGCAGTTCAGAAAGTAATTTTTTTCTCCTTTTCCTCTCCACTCTCAAGGAATTCCTCCTACTTCCTTTTTTCATTTCTTTCTTTTTTATTCCTTCTTTTTTCTTATTCTTTTTTATTTATTTATTGACTCAGCCTTCAAGATTTAAAAGATAAAATTTAAAATTCTTCGACAACATCGCCATTTTATTTTTGCAAAGAATTTGCAACAACTTGATTCATCATGAAAAGCAATTTGTAACATAAAGTGGTACCAAACTATCTCATATCTTTCAGAAAAAAAATAAAAAATTGATACAAAAGGGAATTAGAGAAAACAAAAGATGAAAATGAGGGTCGGTTCAAAAAAAAATATGAGAAAAAACAGGAAAGAGAAAATACAGTTGAAAAGTTTTCAAATTCAGATCTCTTAGGGGATCAGTTCGAGGTCAAAATGGAGGGGTCTGAAGTAAAGGAGGTAAGGGGAGGGGACATTCCACTAAAATTATAAATGAATGGGCGTGACATTATGGGCGGGTTCTATAGCCATAAATTGGTTTGCTACGCCCTACAGCACTATTATTGCTTATATCTAGTTGTTATATTACACCTGATACGCTTTGGTTGCGATTTCCAAGGGGAAAGTGGCCGTCGGGGTGAGCGTGGGATTCCCAAGGAACTACGTCTGGCGCTTTCTGCGAGTCGTATGATACAATTTCTTCGAAATTTCGCTATAATTTCCGAGTATTTTCACGTCCGCTAATCGTCATTTAATTTATAAATTTTGGATAATTTAGAACTTTTTACATTTTCGTTTTCATTTTTCGATTTTTATTAAAATGAACTTTATTTAATTTATTATCCTGCAAGTATTAAAGAATCGTAAACCATTTTTGCACCATACACCTTAATCTTCGTTTTCATCCTCAATTTTGTTCCTTAAATTATTTAAAGAAGAAATATGGCAACTAGCAATGAAAAATAAGAAATTATTTTAAAAAATACAAAACCTACTGAATATTGGCGAAATTACTTAAATTAATGATTATTAAACGAACAGATAAATGATGATAATTGAACGAATCAAAATCAAGAAGAGTAAGAAATTAAGAAATTATTGCCTTTTGTTTTATTATTTTTATTCTGTTTTACCGGACGTTTCCCGACAAATTTCTAATAATCTCCTCACTGTTTTATTTAATCATAGATAGGCCCTCCACAAGCACCATAATGCAAACTCTTCCCCCTCCCCTCGACCTCCCCTCTTATAAAAAGTGAGACGACGCAAACATATACTCAATGTCGTTCTTATGCGTGCGTGGCGCAGCAAATTACATCTTTGGACCTTTGCCAATTTTATGGTCCCTTTTTGTTTCTGAAAATCTTTGCTAAGGCGGCAATTTGAATACGGTTTTGATTTTTGGACGTTTGAACATTGCTTTACCCGCACAATGATTATGTTTCAAGGAAAAGAATGAGACCTGGTTCTAGTCTGCGAGATCCCATTTCGTTATGGAATCGAATCTTTAATGTCCTCAAAGTGTATTTTCTGGATTCATATGAGTCCTTCCGTTGAGTATTTCCTTGCCCTCCAAGTGCCCACTTCTTTATTTTCCTTCTGCTATCTCATCTTCTGTAACAACGCATTAGTAATATCCTCCTAAGATTCTATTCCTTTAACACCTAGCGATCGCTTTCTATCTGTCTAGTCTGTCAGCGGAGCGATCCTAACTAACAGTGGTAATGTTCTTAAAAAAAAAGAATTATTGCCATTAGTAACATTTTTCTTAAATTTGGATCCAGAGGAACTTAGGTCTTTTAACTTCAAAATTCCGTAATGCTGTTATCTTTATCACTGTCATTTATACGTCGTAATAATATCTTTCTCACTGATCCCTTAAGATCTTTTCTCTATATTTTGATACAGTCCTTAAGGTTCTTTCTGGTCCTTAACATCATCACATCAGAACATTTTTTTTTATCAATTTTTTTTCTTGATTTGTAGAATTTTGTTTCATTTTTTTCTCTTATATAGTTAAATAGTTGAATCGTAATTTTGGCTGGTTGTAATTTTCTATAAATTGTTTATTGTGCGTGCTAAGGTTAAGATGAGAAGTGTTGGGGTTGTAACAGGAATTGATGCTGAGGGAATATAGTGGGAAAGCGATAACGAGGATGGTAACGGAGAATTTCGTGGATTGGGAAGTAATATAATATATAATAGCCAATTTAACTGGAAGTTAGAAGTTAGATTTAGTTTATTGATAGCTATTTTTAAAATTTTGTTACTCTTAAAAGTTCTTTTCAATGTACGATGGTGATAAATTAAATTAATGACATTAATTTTTTTAAAGAGTACTCATCATTGCTGGTTGGGCCTGCTACATTGATTTGTCGGATTAGGCTTATTTAGCGATAGAAACACAGGTAAATCGTCATCAGCTCCTTTTGCGGGTTTTTGAAGGACAGGTTTACTCGTGCCTTTTGTAAAATCTCAGCACTCTTAGATAATGCCGTATTCGAATTCGAGACATTCTCGATTCTTGTTGACATTCACCTTGCCACTAATGCTCCATGACGCTAAATAGTCTATTAAACACTTCAAATTTCAGGAATTTTATTGTTCTTATTGATCGAGAAATTTATGGAATTTAATCTATTGATAGCAAAATCGTTTCAAGTAAAGTGAAAGGGGATGAAATAAGCAAATAAATAGAAAAGTGGAAATGTTCACAAAAAGAATAGCAAAGAATAGATGATGGTAAGGGAATAATGAAAATTTTGTCTAAAGCAAGTACTATAATCCCGTAGAAAGACAATTATATCAAGTATTTTTTTTAAGGGCCCACACTGATAAGATTCGCTCCGCTGGCACTAGACAAATATGACAGGAAGTTGCTTAGCGATAGAAATGCAGGTGAGTCGCCAGCGTCACCGGATTTTTGGATAGCTTTTCTTCTGCAAGGAGTAGAATCGGAATTCAGCATCGGAACTCGAAATTGAGCAACAATCCATTGAGCTATTCTGACCCATATCAAGTATACTAAGTAAGATCATCTTTTTTTTCTAAACCACATATAAGTTGATGAAGATTATCAGATTTTCCAAAAAAAAAAAATGTGAGATGACCATTTTCACTTTTCCTTTAAGCTAACCCAATAAATAACAACTTTTTACGTTCGGAATTTTCAGTTGATCCACCATCATTTTAAATAATGAAATAAATTGTTTCCATTTAATGGGGTCTCCATTGAATTCGCACAAAGATATCGATGATAGATGTGATATCGTCCTCTGGTTCCTTTCTAATTCCATTAAGCTAGATGTGATTTCACATTATTGTGTCGTTTCCTCGCATTTTCTTGCCTCGAATCTAGTTCTACAATCTAAAATATCGTAAAGCTGTTGAAATATTTCTTCTAAGTGAATCTCTTCCAAAAATTTCTTTTGAACTGATTCTCCTTTAATTTTTTGCGTTCCTCAACCATTGTTGTCCTAATTCATTAATCTGTTTAACAAATAAGTCCAAATTTTCATTTTCGGCTTGCATTATATCCCAGTTGTTGATCCAAGTCGCTTCATTTTTCCTCATACATTATACTTTGGGAAGGTAAGGTTTAAGGCATTCGTCGATTTTCTTCAATTTAATTTGTGCTTTTATCGACCATTTTATCATATTGACCATTTTCGACAATATTCGATTTTCCGTAATCGATAAAAAGTGGAATAATAAAAAAAATATAGATTAATCTAACGTAAATCGTTTCGATGGTACTATCGCTTTATTCTTTTCGCTAATTGAATTATTAAATTATTTTGTCATTACTAACGAAACTTCTAATATTCATTTTGATTCCTCCAAACAATTCCTTTATCGTTTTATACTTTCGCATAATCCAATAAAGATTATTTGCGAAAAAATCCAGGTATATAATGGTGCTATTTGTAACAGCCATCATCAGCAAATGGAGGTGGATCAAAAGGTACCACTTTTTTTGCCGCAAAATACGAATGATTTTATGGAAAAATCAAAAAATCAAATATTTCCAGTAAAGAAGTATTTTAAGAAGTATAAGCGTTCGGTGTCTATCTTTTTTAATTCGTCAGGAATTTTGAGAAGATTTTCCCTATAATGTTTTTATTTATATTCGGATAAGCGGAATGAGATGCCAATAAATAAAAAAAGGGATCATAGAAATAAAATAAAATATTTTTTTATCAAATAAAATTCAAGTTTTTTTGGTTTTTGGATAATTTTTTAAAGTTTTTAATTAAATAATTATAAAATAATTAACTTTTAATTAAAGTAAAAATACAAGCTGTTAATAATTAATTAAATATTAATTATAAATTATTAATTAAAAAAATGAAAAAATAAATAAATGAAATCTTCAATTTTCAATTTTTCAATTTTTCAAGGAAAATGTTTGCGTTCACTTTTATTTTGAAAAACAAATAAGAAAATTGGACGAAATTTTGGTGAAAGAAAAATTTCTTTGTGAATGAATTTATAATGAAATTATTATTATTTCGATAAATTTAGTGAATCAAATTCGATTGATATGGAAAAAAGCAAATTACCAAAAAATAATGAGAAAAATTTCATATTACATTGAATTAGTGAAAAGATAGTCCTGTAAGCAGCTAAAATATATTTATTTTATGTAGAAACAGATTAAGTCTAAAAATCGTTTGGGCCTTAAATAAGACAATATCTGGCCTTGCCTTAAAAAACATTTAGGCAACATTTCAGTGCGAACGTTTAGGATTTTTCTGCTTTTGGCGGAAAAGTTAGGTGTTCAGATCAATAAAGTTGCCACTTAGGACCAAATTCTGACCCATAAAATGTGCAAAGAGTCACCTTTTCACCTTTGTTATTATCGATGATTCTAAAATTTTGAATCTCTCAATTCATTTGAAATTTTTCCTTTAATGTATCGTGAATCATTGAATTTTGAAGGAAAGAATGGTATGGTATACCTGTGTTATTTGACAGAAGAGAAAATTATTATTCTCTTTGCGAGAGAAAATTCCTCATAAAGGTGAAGTGTGAGTGGTGCTGGCGACCCATCTCCACTTTTATTCCCGGTCAAAAGCTTTCATCCCATCATTCGTCACCGGCTAACCTAACCAAAAATGGTACAAAGAAGCAAAACTACTCGTGTGGGCCGCAATTGGTTCGGCTTCGGCTGAGAAAATCTACGGTTGCAGTTGTATGATGTGATTGCAATCAATGATTTTATATATTTCATTCTGTTTGACTTAATTTGACCTCTCGTTGGGTTATTTTTGTTCATTCGTGTTAATTCGTTAATAAATAATTTATTATTAATTGTTATATTTAATTAATATTAATTTGTTACTAATTATTACTATTTAAATCGATATTATTAATTTCTGAAGTCAGCCAATTATTTATAATTTAATTGCAAATTTAAAATGAATAATTTAATTATAATTGTAAATAAACGAATAGTTAATTTTTCAGTAATTTTTGTTCTTTATTGGCTTTTTTTTCCATAATTTGTCTGATTTATTAAACGATTAATATATATAATTTTTCGTATAAATGTAATTTTAAATTGTTAAATCTCCGGCAATTTATCTTTGAAAAAGAGGTTTTTCGTCCGTAAATTTCGCACAAATTTATTATAATTTTCCGCTTTATTGAAATAATTTTATGGAACTAATATTATTATTTTTCCTTTTTAATCTTCAAATTTCTATATTTCCAAAAAATTGGCTTCAGAAATGAATGCGAATAAAGTACATATATGAGCGTAAATATATCACTTTCCACTTCATTGTTTGTCATTTTTATTTCAATTATTACTTATGTTTCTCGGTCACACTTACTTCGCTCTTACAGGTTCTGCTTAACTCAGTTTTCTCTTATCTTTTTATGGGTTTTACTTTACTTATGTGCTGTCTTCTCAGTCTCTTAGCTTCGATTGTCCAACACATAGTGGCAAGGTGCAAGCAGGAACAACCAGATAGTTGACATTGTCTACAGGAATATCTGTTCAATATATGGCCCCTCCTAAGGCCAGATAGGAGATCTGTTATTATTAGGTAATCGTGAAGAACCAAGATCTTGTGGGATTTCCCGATCCTGACTAATAAGCAATAAGTAATGACCAGTCAACCCGATATCTTGCTCCTAAATTGGAAATGTGGCCTCAGTGGATTCCGAAAGCAACATCAGAGATTTCTCTCAGCTGAGCATATTGTTAGAAAGAGCTAAGGTACTGCGCAAAAACTCACTTTACATTTTGCTCTTATTTCATTACTCCATTATTTTTATTGGTCATACACCATTTTTCCTTCAACTTTTTAAACTTTTTCTCATTATTTGAAGTTTAAAAAAAATAGAAAAATGTGGCTGATTTTTCGATCAAATGTGATGCGCCGAATATCATGAAATACCTTAACAGTAAATTTCAGAAATTCAAAATTAATGAAATAAGAGAAACAACAAATGAAACAAATGAATCAACAAAATTCGTCATCATTCGATCCATATTCGTGGAAGAATTTTTATTTTCATGTTGATCGTGAGGAAGCGAATCGTTTGTTATGTGAAGATCACAATTCGACCTTGGGCTCATTTCTAATTCGTGATTCAACATCACCTGGAAGTTATGCATTAAGTGTCAGGTTTGTTTTAATATTTTCATTTATTATTATTTTATTTCCTGTAAGTTATTTATATTTTTTGGGTTTATGGTCATTTTTCTGATATTTTTATTAATTTCATCTTATTTTTTATGTTTCAATTGTTTGTTCCTCGAATCTTTTCGTAACTAAATCACTGATTTTTTAAGTTTATTTATTGTTTTAATTAAATATATCATTTTAAGTTCTGTGGTAATTAAGCATTTAATTAAAATTAAAATTTCTTGAAGTTCAATCTTTTTTAAACGTTTAACTGTCGAACAAAATTTTAAGGGAAGAACTTACTGGTGACCAACAGGTCAGACATTATCTTATCGAACCCGTTGAATCGGAAAGTGGGAAAATTAATGTGAAGGTGAGAAATGAATATTCAATATTCTCTTGATTAGTTGATTAAATATTTTTTCAGATTGCAGAACAGCACTTTGTTGACATTCCTGCACTTTTAAATCATTTTAAAATGAGGATACTTGCAAATGTTAGCCTTGTTCGACCTCTTCAGAAATGTGTTATTGAAAAAGTATGCTTCATTTTTTATCATGCTTAATTTCATTTTTTCATTTCATTTTCATTTTTTCTTTCATTTTAGCAATGTTATACAACAATCAGTTTTTTAGATGGTTGCATTATATACATTCGAAGGACAAGAACCAACAGATCTTCCTTTTGAAAGGAACGAAGTTCTTGAAATCATTGGAAAACCTCAGGATGAATGGTGGGAAGCTCGAAATGCCCTTGGCAACTCTGGTTTCGTTCCTGCTAACTTTTTAGTATGTCACATTGCGTAACTTTCTTTCTTCTTAGTTTGTACAATGTTACGCTTACACTTTTTGGACTTTTAACAGTATTTTCATAATGGCGCTCACCAATGCGATCAAAATCTTTTGTCTTCTGAATAAAATATCTTCGAAAGAATTCCTTCAGGGTCATATAGATGATATCGTTATACAGCGTAGCAATTCTGAAACATCATCTTTATCGTCAGAAAATAGGCTGAGTGGACTTTCATCAGTAAGTGACAATAATGATGCATTGAATGGTGGATCGCATGCAGAAACGGTATGTAAATACATTTTTTTAAAGAGCATTCACAATTGTTGTTTAGACTCGCTGAGCTAGTTCGGACAAATATACCAGTCCTTATTCTGTTGTTGACCAGTTGTTTGAATAGTTGATTAGTTGAAAAAAGAAAAGCAGTAACCAATAAACTTGGCCATAAAAATCTAGGTAAGTCGATTGCATCACCAGATTTTTGAAGGACAAGTTAACTTCTGTCGGGAGTAGAACTTCCGCATTGGTTCTTTGAGCAGCAACTATTCTATTTTCCTTTCCATTTTCTCTTAGGCGACTGCAGCCTTGCGAAGCGTCAGTCGAATTCGAAATCAAGCCTTGGTTTTCGGTGGCAATTGCCTTGCCACTGAGCATCCGACGCACCTAAAAACGGTATATTACATTTCCTTTTTTTTTCAATTGTACTACTGAGTACTTAGAGGAAAATAATGTACAAAATTAACATTTCTTTTAAAGAGAAAAAAAAATATACACTAAGTTTTCGGTATTTAAGCTGCGCGTGCCATCTTGGGCGAAAGTTAAGCTGGACCGGAGACCTAATGCTTATGATACTGAGGCACTTCGATTAAGAGTTAGTGTTTTTTTTATGTATGAATTTTTTCAGTCTGAAAATGAATTTTTTCAAATTTCTTGTGATTTTGGCCGCAGTGAAGTTAATTCAGTAAAATATAGTAAAATTTAAATTTAGTAAATTTAGTAAAATATAGTAAAATTTTTTTTTCATTTATAGATTCATCAAACGTAGCCTGGATTTAAAAGTTTTCCGTGATCGGCCACCATTGAACCACATTGAATTTTTTCATATATATACAAATTTCTTCTTTTAAGAACTCTCACCATTATTAATACTTAGGCTTATACCTAATACTTAGGCTAGACAAGGGTAAGACGCTTGCAAACTGTTAGATCCGACACAATCGCTGATAAGCAACAGAAGCCATTTCTTTTTCACTATCTAAGTCCATATATCGCTGATCTGCCTATGCCTTCAGACTCTTTCCTGACCGTCTTGATATCTATATCTTGATTGACCCTCCTCACTTTTGACGCCACTCAACACAGAGTTTGACAAAGAATGAAATTTAGCTCTTATGGTGGGCGGCGAAGAACATCCCCTAACCAACGAAGGCGACTCTCTGTAATGGTAGTTAATGCTGGTATTCGAGCGAAGTATGCAATCATGTAAGATTTTATCCGCTCGGTGGGCGCACAAAACGTATTTTAGACATGAATGGTCTAGGGATGATAACTTACTAATATTCTTCATTCTCATCGGCCACTTCTCGCAGCCATATAGCAAGATCAAGAAGGGTTTCATTTTTATGGTGATTTCGCGACGACTGCATAAAAGAATTCCAGAAGAACTCATTTCTAGCTACCGTTATCCATTTTTAATTTATTTTATCTTTCTCTTGGCCGTTTGGGATTAGGATGGATCCGAGATATCTAAAATCTGATACTTCCTTAACCAGCAGTGAATTGATAAAAATAGATATTTTCTCAACTTCTTATATGTAAGACGAGAAGGATTTCTTTTTACATTGATTTACATTGGTCTTGAGTCCAATTTTTGCTGGAGTTGTCGATAAATTGTTTGCATTTCGTTATAACTGTCAGCAAAAAAACTACATTATCAGCGTATTCAAGGTGTATGATATGCTCTGGACTAATATGTACCATCTCTTGAGTGCCGACAAGCGATGTCATCATCCGTTCTATCGCATAGCTGAATATTGTTGGGGATAGGATGCAGCCTTGGTGGCCACCAGTTTTTATTTCGTAAAAGTCTGCTATTCCCATATACATAGACCTGTACTGATGTACGCTGATAAAACGCCTTATGGGACGAATGATATTATTTGGAGGACCGTTATTATTCCATCGCTGTCCAAAATGGTGCTCTAATAACTGAATCGAAGGCAGTTGTGAATTCAATGAAACAAATGGGTTGTTAATATTTGAAACAATATTCCAACACCCTTCTTAACGTGAATCTGGTCAGCTCAACCGCATCCCGACCTAAATCTAGCTTGGTTAGGGCAAATCCTGATATCTTGTACTGCTATAAGTCTGTGGAGGCGAAGGGAAAATTTTCCCGATGATGGTAGGCTGATTTCTTGGTAATTCTCATTGTTCTTTCTTAAGAATTGTGAGCAAAATCGCTTTGCTGTAGTTATCTGCTATTACTCTTTCATACCGGAAAGTACATTTATTGAAGGTGTGATATGAAGGGCGATGTCTATAAATTTAAATTATATTAATTTTTTGCGTTATTGTATTAATAAATTTTAATTTTTTTTTACTATAAAGGTTTATCATGAATATATAGTTTACTAATATTTTATTACTTGAACAATTTTAGAAAGGTGAAATAATAAAGGTGACGAAACTTCATCCATCTGGACTTTGTGAAGGAATTCTTAATGGTAAAAAAGGAACATTTCCTTTCACTTATGTGGAATTCATTTCAGATGAAGTGGCATCAACACCAACACCTATTTAAGTACTATTTTTATATTTTTGGTGGAAGCTATGCATTTATCATTTACTATGCATTTATCATTTATTAAATCTTGTTTAATAAATTTTTTTGTTCTTGTATAGAAATAGAACATTTTCGATATTATTATAAATTATTATACATTCTCGTTATTATTATTATTGTGGATGAATTCTTATTATTATTTTGGATGAATTCACTTGTAATAACTTAGAACATAAAACATATTTCAGTAATTTGCAAAATTCACAGAGTATAATTTTTTTAATAATTATGACTTAAGAATGAATAATAACTGTCTTTTCATTTCGCGTTAATAATCATTCCTTTTTTATTGTGATATTAAAAATTAAATTTGTTTTAACATCTGGTATAGTTTTTATCATTATCATTTTGTTTCTATCAATAATTTTGTTTTTCTTTTAAATTTTTTAAATTTTTGAAAAAATTTTTTGAAAAGTTTGATTTAATGCCAGTTTTGCCGATGTACTTATTGTGCTTATCTTTGTTTACTTATTTATTTTCATTTTACTTAATATATACTTATTTATTTTTTGCCAATATTAGAGTTTTATACATTGTTTGTCGTTATTTAAAATTATCTTCCTTATCCTTGTTCACAGAGTATAACTAATTGTCCTTGGTCAGTGGTTCTTACCCTTCAGTTCTGTGCTGAGGTTCTTTACATCCTTTGTTTACGATATTTTATCGATAGGTTGAGGCTTGTATTTAAGGACACAACTTTAAGTTTGAAAATCAGTATTTTATAGCATGCATTTGTCAATTGCTAACTGAGATCCATCTAATGTGTGCCAAACACATGTTGTGAAAGTGTTTTTTAATATTTTTGTTATTTAATGGATATTTAATAAATAAATATGAATTAAATAAATATGAATTTCAAGAGTGAATCTTTTTGCGTGTTAACTTACAAGCTATCTGCTTAATAGATTAGACACTTAATGTAAATGCAGCACTCGAGCAATAAAGGCCTTTTTCCGTGAAATGCTCGCAACCATATTGTTTCTCAGTTTTAAAAGCATGATGCTCTCACTGCGCTCATTTTCAAGTGCATACTTTAAGAACTTGATGGATTAGACATTTAATCTCGTGAGCAAAAATGTGGAAATTCAAATAACTAGGGAAAATTAAGAACCACTGTTCTTCCTATCTTAAAAATTAAAACATTACTGGTTCATGTTTTGAAGGAAACAATGAAGTTATTTAAGCCTATAAGATTCTGTTCCTTTGTTCCACTTCATTCACGCCATATTTCTTCATTCAGAATTGTTTGAATTTGTTATAAACATTCGATGGTTTTTTAATTTTTAAATTCGCTTGATTTATTTGGAAATTTGTTTTTTAATTGTTTAATTGAAACAATTTGTAAATAGCTGAATGAAGTATTTATTCATTTTTATGGATAATGAATTGAACTATACGTAAAATATATCAAATGAATTTATTTTCAAGATTTATTTGCTTAAATTCGGTATTCTTAATGATTATTTTCGATTGGTATCAAAGCGTATTTTACTACTTTCGTTCCTAAGAAGCAGCGAATCGTTCATATATTTCTATAAATAAGTTTGAGACAGCAAGCGGTTACAATTCCTAATCTAAATCAAAAATATTTAGCATGGATTTCATATATATAAGAGAGTTGGAGAAGGGTGCTGGTGCTCGAGCTGAAGATTTTGATTCGCTGTTTGAAGGATGTCGATGTGTTGGATTATGTACTGCAGCAAACCGCTGCTCATGCTTGTTTAGACAACAAGTAATTTCATTTATCACCCGCTTCAAGTCTTTTTTTTCAAGTCTTTTTTACAGCGTATTTTGGTGCACCCTTTAATTTTTTCTAATTGTTGACATTTTAATTAATTTTGAGGAAAATAAACATGATACATTAAGTTGTTGAAAAAGGTGGAAAATGAATTTGGGTTATTAATTTGAGGATATTTATCAAGATAGTAAATATATAAAAGCTGAATCGGTTTCACTACCAGTTATCGAATGCTCATCTCAGTGCTTATGTTCTTTGAATAGTGAATCGTGTGGAAACCGATGTGTTCAGTTTGGAGTTACATTACCGCTGGAGGTTTCGTTTTGAATTTTTTTTTAATTTGACTATCCCTTCATAAGCTATAGGTTTTTTATTTGCTCTTTTAAAATTTATTCTCAGGTTTTTAAAACAACAAACAAAGGTTTTGGTGTAAGGTGTTCTGAGCCTATCCGAAAAGGAAGATTCGTTACTGAATATGTCGGTGAGGTAATCGGACCATTGGAAGTAAAGCGACGATCACCTCATACAGTTTATACTCTAATTATCAAAGAACAATTTCATGGTGGGTGCAAGAATGTCTTCTTTCTTATGAATAAAAATTCTATATTTTTTTTCTTTGTTTTTATTTATCTTGTATTTATCTTGTGTTTTAATTCTTCTTTTTATTACAGATCGTGAGCAAACTACATATATAGATGCAAATAAACGAGGAAATATTGCACGTTTCATTAATCACAGTTGTGATCCGAATCTGGAGATGGTTATAGTACGAATTGGCAGTCCATGTGTGCATGTTGGTCTTTTTGCTTCCCAGTTTATTTCACCTTTTGAAGAACTTTCATACGACTATGGTGTTAATATTCTAAGGGATGGCAGCCATTCACAAAAATTATGCCTTTGTGCTAGTTCAAACTGTCACTTATATTTACCTGCTTCATAAAATACTTACATCAGTGCAAAAAATTTTAAACCAAAAGAATTACAATCATCATATTAAAAAAAAAACTTAAATTAAAACATAAATTTAGTTTAAATTCGTGAAAATTTACATTGTTTGAGCATAAGATGCGCGATAGCTTTTTGATAATTTTGATCAGTCACTGCACTTTTAAAGTGATCTTTGATATTAGAACGGAATCTTCTCAGACTTATTCCAACAAGATTAAGCAATTCACTGAAATTCGTCCATACTAAAAAAAATCTTGTTTCGAACTAGCTAGAACCACATCTAAGCTACTGAATAATTTATTCTGAATTTTGTATGAATTTTTTTATATTGATATTCATCCTCTTCTATTGTTTTCTTACTCTGCCTTGTTATTTCCGTTTTGTAATGTTTTGCTTATTGTAGGCCGATGTCCAAGCACCTACATGTTTACATGCCTTGCTTAATCCTTATTTGTAAATAAACACTAAATAACTTAATAATCATTTCGTGATGGGCGTCACGTCTACAGCTGATCATTCTGATATTCATTATTATTTAAATTACTGTAATTGTATTTATTACATTTTTACTTTTTATCAGTTATTAAATACTGAAATTTTATTACTACTGGAAATGAAATCCGAGCGAAGAACAAAAATAATTGATACCTAAAAGAACAAACTTAAATAATTTAAAATTATGAGAATATTAGGAGAGTTATAACGTTGAAAATGATAAAAATTCGGTTGTTTTAAAAAATCTTGCACCGATTTCGAATTATACAGCCAAAATTCATACAATAAATGCTCGTTACAAAAGTGAAGCACCATCAGTTATAATATTTTTGACGCCTGAAGGATGCAAGTTTTTTCCTTTTTTCTTCAAAAATGATATAAGATTAATAAAGATATACAAAAAAATTACATATAAAAATATTTAGGAAAACACGGTAAATATCAAAAATTTATGAACATAAATACATACTTTATTAATTGGAACTTATAGAAAGAGATTGATTGCAGAAACCAATTAATTTTTTTTCTTCCATGTTGATGGTCATTCATGGTATATATATTCAATTTTAAGTACCGTCAAAAGTGCACAATATGAGAGCAAGAGCTGTCGGATCAAATACCATGTTCATAACTTGGGAAAAGCCTCGACAAGCAAACGGAAATATACGCGGCTACTTCTTAACATTCGAAAGTAAAATATTTCGAAATTTTAATAAAAAAACTCTTTTCACTGATATTTTCACTGATCATTGTATATATTCTCGATCACAACGTATTTCAGATTTACATGCTGAAACTATAGAGGAAACATATGTGCTGAATCGTCAGATGTATTATTTGCATGAAGAAGCTGAGCCAGATACTGGTTATAAAATTTCTGTTTGGGCTGAAACATACGGAGGAGAAGGGCCGAAGGTAGTTCGACCTGTTAGAACATGGCCTCTTAGAGGTGTCGATTGGAGTATCAATTAAATTAAATTAATTCTTGTTCTTATCTGAAACGACTTTTAAAATATCTGCAAAATATTTCAGATCTTGATCCACCAGTGTTGAAAGTTGAAGCAACGTCACCAACTACGTTAGCCATTGAATGGATTCCATTTAACGAAAGTGAGTGGGGAATATCTGGACCAACATTTTTCGTTAATTTCACCTCTACAGGTTTTTTCTTTTATAATTCTAATGTTTGAAATTTCTAAATTTCATTTACATACTACGAAAAAAGTTCAATTTATTGTAATAATGCGATTTTATTTCATGCTTTCAGAAGAAGATATTTGGTCGCAAAGTGAACATATTAATTTACCTTTCACAGAGATAATACTGAGAAATCTTGAAGAAGATACATTGTACAGAATACGAGGTATTGCAAAAGAAAAAGAACGACAAAGTATATCGGATGAGATTAAAGTGAGAAGTTTGAGAAGAGTTACTATAACGCATCTATCACAAGGTTCGTTAATCAGTAAATTCTATGGCATAATTTCCTAGCAAAATGAGTGAAAATTTGAGTATCAAAAGAACGGTGCCCTATTGAAAAAATTTTAAATTCAAAAGTTTTTTGAATGAATTTTGGCTTCTTACATTGTCTAAAATATTTTTTACAATATTTTATAATTGCATTTTATTATATATGGGACGGGAATGGTCGAGTGATATGTTCCTTAGAAAAATTCGATTCGATCTCTGCCTAAGATTAACCTATCTTTAAAAGTCTTGCCATTAAAAGCTAAACTTATGAAGTGCAAAGAAGTATCTCTATCTCCAAATGATTTCCAACTGATGAAGGGTTCGCATTCTATTAGCCAGTAGAGTCAGCTAAACCAGAAATAACGAGTTCTATTAAGATAGAAATATTATAGGATGGATGGATTTTAATAGCGAAAATAATAAAAATCCTATAAATACCCTTTGCTAATAGTTTTTTTTCTGTCTTTTGTTATCTTTTATTAAAAAAATTTGAAATTTACCTATGTACAGCTGAACTTTCATAAATGTAGAGCAAGATTTCTCAATTGGGGTCAATTGGACTACCGTAGGATTGAGGAGAGGTCGATAGATAAGTTAAATAATTGCTACGTCTTTTTAAGTTTCAAATAATTTTCAAATAATTTTTGAACTTATTAATGCTTAGGATTCATATGGGTGTTCTGGCTCCGAATATTATAACATATTTTGACCTGAAAACATGTCTGAAAACATATTTTTTCTTCTTCTTCTAACAGCTCTCACCATTACTGGTTAGGCTGGCTCCAAAGGCTACAAGAATAAGACGCTTCCAAACGGCGCGGTCTCATGCCTTCATCGACAGTAGTAGAAGCCATTCCTTTTTCCATCGTCTAAGTCCATATATTGTTGGTCCGCCTATACGCTCAAAATCTTTCCTGACTGTATCAGCCCAAGTCTTGATTGGCCCACCTCGCTTTTAACGCCATCCATTACACAGTTTAGCAAGTAATGAAATATGCGACAACTTTTGTGGACGACGAAGAACGTGCGCTAACCACCGAAGGCGATATTCTGTGTTAACATTATTAATGCAATTGATATTTGAACGAAAATGGATACGATCATGTAACATTTTATCCGCTCGATGGACCCGTACCTTAGATAAGAGTGGTCAAAGGCAGATAACTTCTTAATATCCTCTATTCTCATTGGCCATTTTTCAGAACCATAGATCGAACGGATCACGGCAATATAGATGCGAACTTTCATTTTTATGATGATTTCACGACGATTCCATAAAAGTTTCGTCAACCGGAAGAACATATTTCTAGCTGCCGCGATCTGGGCTATAATATCGTCTTTTGCCTGGCCATTTGGTATTAGAGTGGGCCTAATTTATTTAAAATCGGGCACTTCCTCGACTGGTAATGAAATTACAAAAAGAGGCATTTTATCAGCTTCTTGCACATAAGACGGAAAGACTTTCGTTTTGTGTTTTGTTTTCGTTTTATACCTTGACCCTAAGTTCGATTCTTGCTGCAGTATCTGTTATTTAGCATTACTTGCATTTCGTATTAACTATCAGGAAAAAGACATCAGCGTGTTCAAGGTCTGTGATAGTATGCTCTGGACTAATGAGTTCATCTCTTGAATGCTGACAAGCGATGTCCATTATTCGGTCTATCGCACAGTTGAATATTGTTGGGAAAGGACGTAGCCTTGGTGACCACCAGTTTTTATTTCGTAAAAGACTGTCATTTCCCCATATACACATACCTGCGCTGACGTGCCCTCATAAAATGCTTTTATGAGTCGAATGATCTTCTCTGGAACACCGTCCCCGTCCCATTCCATCACTCTCCACAGCGCCTTTCTATCAATTAAATCAAAGGCAGCCTCAAAGTCGATGAAACACATGATAGTGGATTGCTTATATCTGAAGCCAACACCCTTTTTTAACGTGAATACCTGGTCAGCACAACCGCATCCCGGTCTGAATCCAGCTTAATTAGGGCGCATCGTGCTGTCTCGTATTTCCATAAGTCTTGAGTAAAAGAGAAACAAAAATTTTCGCTGAGACGTCTAGTAGGCTCATTCCTCGATAATTGTCGCAATATGTCCCATCACTTTCTTTGAGAATTGGGAGCAGAATTGCTTTACTCGAATCATCTGGTAATATTTTTTTTCCCATACCAGAGAGTACATTTGTTGAAGATATGTTATGAAGGACGATGGACAACATTTAAAAAGTTCAACCCGAAGACCATCTTCTCCCGGAGTCTTATTGGCCTTAAGCTTATGGATAACAGATATTATTTCTTCTTCTGTCGGGGTTCTCGCAGTTACGAGCATATGGTATCAGTAATATCACTGGCAACAGATGGTGCTTCATAGTTAAGTTTGGCCTCAAAGAATTCTTTCCATCTTATGAGGCGGTCCTTAATCCTCTTGACTGATGCGCCATTTCTGTCCTTCACTATTGATCGTTGATCGTTCCCAGAATTATGAAGAAGACGGAATAGTTCCCTATTATCGCCTAATAGAGCCGCCGCCTCCATTTTTGAAGCCATGTCAATCGGATAGTGATTTCTGTCCTTGCCGTGCTGCTTTTTTGGATCCGGTAGTCAGGATCACCTGATATTTATGCTTTGGTAGTTTTTTTCTGAAAACTTCACTGTATAGTGTATATGCATATATTTTCATCAAAGTGGAAATCCAGAGTGATAAATCAATTAGTCTAAGAAAGGTGGAGGATATACAGGAGGATTAATTTTCCTATAAAATGATTTTTAATCGTGAAAAGAAAATGTCCAAAGGTAGTAAATGAGAAATTAATATTACCATCAATACGAGATTTAATGGGTACTAATGAATACTGTTATGGTAACGGATCCAGGGCCACTTTTAAAAAATATTATATTCCACTTATTCCACTTATATTCCACTTATTAACAGCATTTATACACGAACTCCGTGATGATATTAAGAAATCATTAGTATTTGATTTGTGGAAAGATGAATTTTTTGTTTATTTGATTGGATCGAGAT